AAAAAGATATGGGCTTAAGGCTGATCCTTGATGTAACCCAACCGAAATAGGGAAATACTTGGTCAATCCACCTTGTGTTTGAACACAAGTAATAGCTCCTGCATACATATCTTTAATGATTTGAATATAAGCATTATTGACTCCTTTCTTTTCAAGAACTCTCCATAGCACTTCTCTTGGAACTTTATCATATGCTTTTTCTAAATCAATAAATATCATATGTAGGTCCTCCTTATTTTCTCTATATTTCTCCATCAAACCTCTTAATAAATGTATGACTTCCATAGTCGACCTACCCGGCATGAATCCAAATTGATTTTGAGAAACATTAGTATCACGCTGCAACCTATGCTCCATAACTCGCTCCCATAGTTTTAAAGTATGACACATTAACTTAATACCTCTATAATTCGCACAATCTTGTGCATCACCTTTATTCTTAAAAATAGGAATTAACACACTCATTCTCCACTCATCTGACATCTTTTTAGTCTTCAAAATAGTATTAAAATGTTTAGTAAGCCATGAAATTCCTTCATCTCCTAAGCATTTCCACACCTCTATTGGAATATCATCAGGTCCAACAGCTTTTCCACCCTTCATTTTCTTTAAAGCCTCTCTAACTTCAGTTTTACTAATACGCCGATAAAAACAGAAATCTTTATTTTCATTTAGGGTGCTAAGATCACTATAGTCAATCTTATTTTCACAATCTTCATTAAAAAATGACACCAATAGTTAGAACATTACTAATGGTTATGATGATGATTATATGCATCCAAGTTTACACACGTCTAACAAGTTGAGCAGAATTGAACAACATTTTAGTTTAATTTTATTATGCTTTAGTGTTACTTTATAGTTTTAATTCTAGTTACTTCAAAACATATCTATGATGATGATTCTGATAGGAAGTGAATGCATTTGATAGGAAGTGGATGCAAAAATTGAGAAACTAGGAAGAACACCCCAAAATACTTTTTTTTTGGTTAGGAAAGAAAACAACAATATACAATTGGATCTTCAATTAGAAAGGAAGATCCTGCTCTCCCAAATCCCTAGCCATCGACTAGAGCTCTCGCAACCTAAGAACTTCTAATTTTAGCGAACTCCACACATAAAAACTGAATCCTAACATAAAAAACCTACTTGTATACAAAACAAAATCAATGTGAAAACAACCCTCCACCTCTTCCTTTTCCCTCCTAACTGCCCCCTCCTCCCCATTCGAAAATCCCCCCGGGCCCACCCCAAGAGGTGGGATTTCTTCCAGGCGGCATCTTGTTTCGCCTCACCCATTGTTCTGCCTCACCCATAACATTTGGCCAGTCTAGGAGGGACCAACCCAACATTGACCAATCCAAGTGGGACCAGTCTATCAATACCCCCTCTCAAAAACCCACATTGTCCGCAAAATGGAAAGACGGAAACTACTGCTTCACTATCACCTCCCTCCTCAATTTCCTCATCATAAAAAATCGTGAGAACCTAAAAAGTTTGGTCCTTACACCTATGCTCCAATGTATATCTCTCATCATATCTAAAACACAGCCCCTTCGCCCTCTTCTCCTATAACCCCGTCTTTGTGAGCTTCCTAAAGTTTCCCTCATGTATCCCTTCTATAGTCTTCTCCTTCGAGGTCTCGTTAAGAATACCTGGTGTTGACTCCTTGGATGCCAAAAAAGGTGGGGGTCATCCTATGCAAACCTCATGATTGGCTGCCTTAAATCCCTCTCTCCAGGTGCCTATGATCCTCCGCTAATTGGGCTAAATCCATAACCTCTCCCAAATCAGGCCTCATTACTAATGGTTATGATGATGATTATATGCATCCAAGTATACACAATTACACACATCTAAAAAGTTAGCTGAATTGAACAACATTTTAGATTAATTTTGTTATGCTTTAGTGTTATTTTATAGTTTTAATTCTACTTAGTTCAAAACATATCTATAATGATGATTCTGATAGGAAGTGGATGCATTTGATAGGAAGTTGATACAAAAATTGAAAAACTAGAAAGAAGAACACAACAAAATATTTTTATTGTTAGGAAAGAAAACAATAAGATACAATTGGATCTTCAATTAGAGAGAAAGATCCTACTCTCCCAAATCCCTAGCTACCTAAGAACATCTAATTTAAGCAAACTTCACACATAAAAATTGAACCCTAACACAAAAAAAAACCTATTTAAAGTATACAAAACATAGTCAATGCCAAATCAACCCTCCCCCTCTTTCTTTTCCCTCCTAACAGCCCCTCCCCATTCAAAAATCCCCCCAGGCCCTACCCCAAGAGGCGGGATTTCTTCTTGGTAGCTGCCAGTTTCACATCTCTTCCGCCTCACCTGTAACATTTGACCGGTCCCTCCTGGATCGGTCAATCAATACCCCCCTCCTAAAGACCCATCTTGTCCGCAAGATGGAAAGACAAAAACTGCTGCTTCACTATCACCTCCCTCCTCAATTTTCTCAGCATAAAAAATCGTGAGAACTTGAAAAGTTTTGTCCTTACACCTGTGCCCCGATATATACCTCTCATCACATCTAAAACACATCCCCCTCGCCCTCTTCTTCTGTAATCCCGTCTTTGTGAGCTTCTTGAAGTTTCCCTTATGTCTCCCTCCTATAGTCTTCTCCTTCAAGGTCTCCTTAAGAATACCCGGTGTCGGCTCCTTGGATGCCAAAAAGATGGGGGTCAACCTATATGAACCTCTTGAATGGTTGTCTCCAACCCCTCTCTCCAGGTGCCTCTGATCCTCCACTAATTGGGCTAGCTCCATAGCCTCTCCCAAATCACGAGGCCTCATTATTTTAACTACAGTCCGAATCTTTGGCTAGAGGCCTTTCATAAAATTTTCCTCCAGTACAGTCTTCGGAAGTCGGTCCAATCAACTGGCCAGGTGCTCAAACTACTCATGATACTCCACCATCATCCCCTCTTGCATAAGAGCGAAGAACTGCTCATAAAAATCCCCTCTCTTATTTGTTCAAAAATGTTCCAACAAAAAGTCCTTAAACTACCTCCAAATCCGTATGGGTCGCCTCGTATCCCTCTATTGGTATCATACCAATGCTTTCCCCTCCAAGTGCATCTCAGCTGTCATTAGTCTCTTCTCCTCCGTCAACCCATTGACGGTAAAGTACATTTCCACCATGTACATTCACCCAGGTGCATCATCTCTCTCAAAAATAGGCATCTTTAGCTTCCTCGCGATCAGATATCCTCCGTTCCCATGTTTCTTTCATAATTTCCCATTCTCCAAGGGGGTGATTCCCCCCAAATGTCTCAATCATCCCTTCCATGCTCGTACCGAAACCCTAAACCCTAAAAAAGACCCTAAACCCTAAAAGACGAGTGGCGCAACGGTGGTATTCTCCACACATAAAAATTGAACCCTAACACAAAAAACCTACGTAAAGCATACAAAACATAGTCTATGCCAAAACAATCCTCCTCTTCCTTTTCAATGATCCAACAAGCTTTTGGTTTCAAGTCACTATTAGTGGACACCTGAAGCAAGCTTGGTCTGTTACTGTGGCTTCTAATATATTATTCGGTTCCCTAGCTTCTCTCATGTGTTGCCTGTTCTGTCATATGGTTCCTGTAGCAAGATCGATGGTTTCATCCTACAGCGGGCTGTGATGAGCACGAATAATTCCCGCAGTGATCTAATCACTGATTGTGAATTTATTTCCATGCTAATCTTCTTTCCCAGTGATCATCTGCTTTTCTGTTATGAAGGAGAACCAAAGCTTGAGTAGATCACATGCTGCATTGCCAACAGGTACTCCAGGAAATTAAAACTACAATTAGACTGCCAACCCTAGGGACTTTTTATGTTTATAAATAAAAATCTGTTAAATAAGTATAAGGAAACTGTTGCTTAATTAAAATTCAAATTTCTATTCCATTTTGTGGCTGAGTTGGGCGTCAATTCATTCAAACAAAGTGCAAAAGCAACTACAAATTTCTGAGGATAGTCATCTCCATGTATCAAGGTGAGTGTGACTTTCTTCAATTGATGAGTTCTTTTCGAGTTTTCTTTTCTTCTACATAATTAGTTATTGATTTTTTAGCCATCCCAAAGAAAAAAAGTGCTAGAGTCAGTTTTGTAATAACTTAATAAAAAAATAAGTTTCATTAAAAAAAACAAGATGATAAATTAAAGGCAAGTAAGCAGAACAGCATGAAAGACGGAAAATTCACCAACAAATTACAAGATCTGAAAAATCAAATTTCATAATCTTTATGCAGCAGAAAGCAATATAAGAATATTTAAAGACAGTTTTCCTAAAAAAACTATACTTAAATGAAAATATTCTGAAGGATAACTGCATATCAGTGAAAGTTAATTAAATAATTTAAATTCTTCCAAATGTATCATTTTCTACTCATGTTAGTATGAGCTAATCAATAGAATATGATGAATTAACCTGGCCCTTTTTCTTCTTCACCTCCACGCTGACAAGGCCCCTCCTCTCAGATCCGCGGATAGGGAAAATAAGGAAACACCGCTTTCCACCTAACCTTAACTTGAAGTTCTTTATCTTTGGAAGTCCTCCAGACATAATATAAGCCCTAACATCCGTTCCAGCTAGAGGGGCGCCCATAAGCTCAAGAATAGGAGCAGATGTATTCAACTTCCTCATAGCTATTCTATAAACCTTATCTGGATTGATAGTGAATCTTGATCGAATGTAAAGACCCTGAGATAAGAAAGTTTATTTATCATTTAAGCACTTCTGGAATCTGGAACAAATAGCGTGTAATTTTCTTAAAATTGTTATAACCAGAGACAAATTGCTACAGAGCTAGTAATAGCTTCAAATAGAAGCCTGTACAATATGTTTTGCAAGCACAACAAACTTTTATCCTGATAGCTTAGAAATGGAACTTTTAGAAGATGGGCAAATGTGCAAGAATAAAGCTACACTCCCAAAAGAAAAACTTGCAATTTCACTGCCATATCCGCCTACATGGCAGTGAAAGTGGCATCTTATATATATTACAATCAACATATTACTTTCCCAGCCAGTTAATACATATCCATTAAGATACATTATTTCCATCATATCAACCAAGATAATTAGTAGCATACTAAGCTGTTTTACTCTGATGGGACTTAAGTTTGTCTGCTTTAGCTGTCAGAGATTTTGAAAAAATGCTTGTTCAGATATTATTTGTATTCTGTTTTCCTAAATATAATCTTTCAAAAGAAAATTCTAAGAAAAGCTAGGAAAAAGCTATCTATTTGTTTTCATCCAAACAGTTTTGGCTTTTTACAGAGTGATTTTCCTAGCATAAAGCGGGTAGAAAGTAAAAAACCAAACAAAATCAGAGAATTTCAGTTACTTATAAAATAATCTAATAAAGTTGTAGCAAACTATTTAGTTCCTCTAAATAAAACAACAGATTTAATAAAAATAAATCATTTTGATAGTTAAAATTGTATGTAAAAAAAAAGGACTGAAATGAGAATACTTAAGCGCTCAGTTCACATAGTAAAATGACAGGTAGGGAATCAATTAAATTTTTGTTACAGAAGCTATTCCTTATGAGGCGTTACAGATTAATTTAAACAGTTCAGTGAATTCAAGTGAATAAAATGAACCTTAAGAGCTCCATTTCCATACTTTAAGGAACAACTTCGATAGGATTCTAAAAGTTTATATTCATTGGAAGCACAAAAAAATGAACCTTAAGAGGGACATGCTTTATTTACTTTGCATTTCCTTTTAAGTTAATGTTAAACATATTGATGATAATAATGATACTAGAGAGAACGGTTTGATTGCCTCAGTAGATTTAGTTTACTGCTACAAATGCTTCGATTCTGCATTCTCCACCTGGTGTTACAGCTTTAAATCTTTTGTGTTTTTCTATTTTGATTTTCATCATCGCTCATACGATCCCTAACAATCTTGTTGTCGATTCCTGGTCTTGGCCCTCATTGTCATTGTTGAATCTTATTTGTCAATTCATGCACTTGGCCATCATCACTGTTGTTCAACGACTTCTTGCAACTTCAACATGATGTCGACTGACAGAGCTATGGGATAATCCCTCTACATTGTTGCCTTCAGTGGTCCCTCCGTGATCTCTTCCTTAATTCCCATCATTATTGAATTGCATCTAGGCTCTGTAGTTTCCAAGTTTTCATCATCATCTTATTATGTCCTGATTTTGCTTCATTGCATTGATACCTCTAAAATTGCAATCAATTTCTGCTCAACATCCACCTCTGCTCAATAATATCTGCTCGACATCAACCTTCAAGAGTGATCAACTTCAGTTCCAATCCTCCAGAGATGCAAGCTAGGGCTTTCTCTTTTCCTAGTGAGTTCTACGGCCTTCATTATTGCAAGTCTTTTTCTACTACGTCCGCACCCTCGTCATTCCTAAGGGATGCAACTTTCTTTATTGTGAATGTTTTCTATCATGTTCAAATCTTTCTTATTGTAAATTCTCTTAGATGTTGTTGGAACAACAACTTCAACACCTCCTCCGGCTCTACTTTTTCAATCATATTGTTGTTCTTTCATCATGAAAACATAAAAAATATCATCATCCATTCTTCTTTAGTTCATCTTCACACTATTATCATCACATCATTCAATATTCATAAAAAATTTTGAGCAGTTACACATTCATAAATCGTAGTGATGAGCTCCATCAATAACTTCAAATCCATTTATTCTTGTTGGAACTTCAATAAGAGTTCATGTTGTTCTATGCAGAGTACATGTGTGAGTCCTACAACCTCTGCAATATGACCACCACATCCCATTCTTTCTGTAGAAGAGTTCATTGAAACACAGGGGAATGAAGATCATCAAAGACTGGTGATCAATCTTTGATCAGATCTTTGAGGGCATCTTCATTATTAGTGTTTATTCCATATTTCAGAAAACAATGCAAAATCAACAAAGATTAGTGATCCTTATCTGATTAGCTCTTTGACAACACTTTGATTATCAGTGTTCATTCGATGTCATGTTATGTTTACTTTTTATCCTTAAGTGTGAACAATGTGATTGTATTTTGGCCCATACCCTATATAAACGGACCATATGCTAATATAAGACTTGGTTAACATTGAATATTGATATTTGCTCTTACAATCTCTTCAATCCTCTCCCCTTGTCCATGAGCTTCTATCGCTATTCCTCATTCTCCTCCAAATCCCTAAACCACAGTCAATATATCATCCTATTCACGACTTGGAAAGAAAGAAAGATAAGCTTGAAGTTCGCAGCAATTCTCTAACACCAAGGAAAAGTTATAGAACGTCTAAGATTTAATTAAACAATTGGTACAACTAAAAACATAAAAGTGAAGCGCATAAAAATGTAACACAACAAGCGTGTCCAATCATCATTACATAATAGATAATACTTACAGTAAAAGCAACAATAGCAGTTGCCAGAGCAAGGAACCCATACTTTGCCATGCCTTCAGATAGCCCCACAAAAGTGCTTGCAAGTCCAAACAATATCTTCCACAACGCAATGCACAGAACTAAACCACCAGCGCCGAGAATAAAAAGATAATTCCTCTTCCAGAAAGCCTCCAACTGCAACCCAATGACCTCTCGGTACCTTGAAAACGTCAATCTGATGCTCGAAAGAGACTTACTGACCACCGATTTCCCAAAACCTTCAGCAATTTTACCGGTATCCAAACTCTTAACAGAAAGAAGCCTATATATTGAGCCCTTTTCCATAAAACCACGAAGCCCCGCGACCTTCGAAGAAAGAATTGGCAACTTGGGCGAAAACCCCGAGCTCATTGCCCTTGAATGCCAAAACCCAGAAGACAAAACCCCATGAGAAAAATTCGTACGGCTGTTGTTGAGGATACGAGAAAGCACAACATTGATAGATGGGGATTTAGAGGGAGGCTCACAGGAGTACAACCTGCTCCAAATTCCCCCAGGCTGGTACAGGCTTGTAGAGAAATCGGAAAATAAATTCTTCGAACAAAATAAAGCAGGTTGGCCATATAAGATAGGGCTTTGATGCCAGCGCCTTGAAACGATCTCATGGGAGCAAAGCCTCTGGAAATCATGAAAAATTATCTTTGATGGTTTTGCCATTTAATAGGAGTTCTACAGTGCTAGCGGGAGAGAGAGAATCGGAGAGATATCGAGGTTGCGGACTGCGGAGAGTGCGAGAGATCTCGACGGAGGGAGGGAGATCGGTGACTGCGAGCGCGTCGCCGCTGGCACCAAACGGCGGGTTAGCCCGACGGCCCTTTAATTATATTTTAAAAATAAAAGCATTTTCTAAATATATTTCAACATATTTTCAAATTTTTAATGAGAGAATTTTTCATATTTACTAACTATTTAAAAAAATGATGTCTTTCAAAATGAATTTGATCGAGTTCAAAGTTAAAATAGTTCAAATTTATTACAACTAGTTTAAGACAGTTTTCTCATTGCTTCTTAAAATTGCTTGCTAGTATAAATATTTAAATTTTTATACTAAAAAATTGTTTTAAGAAGCAGTAATAAAGTCGTCCCAAAAAAAGCCTAACTTTGATATATTGAAAGTAAGTTCAAAGTGATTTTTATGAGAGGGAGGCTCGAGTCTTTGCCAAAAAAGGTGCGATGTAGCAGTTGGCACATATTTTATTGATTATCAGACATCGATTGAATATGATCGACATAAAATAAATTGGTTCTAATTCCTTGATTCAACTTTAATATTTTCAAAGGAAAACTCCATCAATTTGTATCTTAATTTTAATAACTTCGTCATCAAAATCCCTTTTCGCTTGAATCCCTGTACGTTCTTGAAGTTCGTTATATCTCTATAATCGGTGTGGGCAACTTCTTCATGGCATGGAAGGGCTCCTTCCCGAGTGTGCCTCCTCTCACACGTATGATTGTAGATACCTCTTACGTAAAAACATACGATCTTTGAGATCAAAACTATTAGGTCAAAAGACAAAAGTGGCACTTTGCTACATTCTTTCAATATCCTAAACAATATTTGTAAGATGCAAATAATTTGGTAGTATTTGCTTCTAATTACCATAGTTTATGATGCAAGGTGCGTTGAGGTTTTATTTGGGGAAAAAAACAATTGTAAAATTTCTATTTGTCCATTATTTTTTCGTTGCTTTCAAAAGTCAGTTGTATTAAAAAGTTATTTTCTACAATAGCTTTAAAAAGCTGCTCTCTCTAAAATAGTAAGAAAATTATTCCAAATGAAGCCTTGATCTTAAGGAAATGCATTGTGATGACATGTTTACTTTGTAAAGCTTTTGCTTCACATATGAATGGCTTCTCCTTTTCTTCAAAATTGCTAATGTTCTTAAATCTTTGAGGAATGCATTTTTAGGGCATAAATACTTTGTAAAGCTCAAAAAGAAAATCATCAACATAAGGATGAAACTTTATGTTAACCGGAGGTATAATCCGATCGTCTTCAATTGTAGCGAGCTAGTACTCATCGTTAGAGAAAACCTTCTTGACGAGGCCCCACTTAGGATCCAATTTTCCATGCGAGTGACGAGAATGGTTCTTCGGATTTGGCATCTGACTTAATGCCATACCAAGCATACTATTGATATGTTTAGGAAAGACTAGAGCACTTGGAGAATACTGGAGAGAGTGAGATGGTGAGCGAGTCAAGCCAACTTATGAGACGCTCAGGTTCTATTTGATAAGTGGCTCGTGAGCTAAATTCAATGAGCTAACAAACAAAGCCTAAGCCAACTCTAACTCAACTTGTTAGCTTCTAAACAAGCTCGCTTAAATAATATTAATATAAAATACACTTAAAATATATTAAAAAATTCATTGTTTTAAGTACTAAAATTTTGAAAATTATATTTTAATTTCTTACATTAAATAATTATTTATTAGTTTTACTCTAATTTATTATAATTTTTATCATTATAATAATTACTTGGGTCATAGTCTTTATATTTTTTTTTTTTTTTTAGCTGATTTATGAGCAAATTTGAGCTCGTAGAACATCGTGAGCTCGAAATCGATTAGTCAATCGAGCTCATGCTCAAGCCATAGACTACTAGAGTCAACACCCCTAACAAAGATCTAAACAAAGGGAAAGAAAGAGAGATATATTTGCATGCAAAAGATAGAGAGAGAAAAAATAGCCATTTTTTTTTTTACATTTAGACAATTTAAGACAAACTCACACATACATAAAAACTCAAATTAAAAACCTCTTAATTGAAAATCTAAATCTTCAACCAACATACCAAGATGAGCAGCGTAAAATAGCCAATTTGAAAAAGTAATTTTTATATTAATATCAGACATAAATCATATGATAAGACCATTACTTATTTATTTGGTCTTTTCTTTTACTTTTACTTAATACAGAAATGATGAAAAGTGAAGATATGGTAGAGGAGGAGAAGGTACAAAATCTCTTAATTGATAATCAAAATTCTCTGCCAACATATTAAAGAGAGCTACATATAATAGCTTTGCTCAGAAGTTACAAAGCAAGAGGGTAAAATGTTATAGAAGTTCTTGAGGAAAATATTATACATGATAGTTTTAAATAACTATTTTTTAAAGAAAAAAATTTATAATAAAAAATAATTTTCTAAAATTTACTTGGTATAAATTCTCTTCAACAAATAATGATAATTTTTGTGCAACTATCATTCTAATGCTGGCAAATCCGATTGTGAAAAGCAAAGCTCTCTTCATAAAATTTTTAAAAACATATAAAACAAAATTATAACCAAATAAAAATATAACAATAATATACACAACAAAACTATAAAAAAAAGAAAGTATATCATACAAATTTTTAATAACACCATTACGGAAAATTATTCTATGCGGAGTCCGAATGTAGAGGATTTTCCGAATTGCTGTGTCCACACTGCATATGTACTGTATATTTATAGATACACAACAAATACTAAGCCAATCATTAATTGTGAATATTTGCTTAGTATTTAATATGTATTTTTTGCATTTTTTCTAAGTTTTTACTAAATATTTAGTTAGTATTGTTAATTTGCTGCTTATTTATTGTATATCTACAAATACATAGTAAATACGCAGTACATACACAGCAATCCAGAAAATCCTCTACATTTGGACTCCGCACGGAATGATTTCCCCACTATTACAATTGTGTTGAACCAACAATCCCAAAACTTTTGGGAGTACATCTTAAATAATAAGGAGAAATAGAAAAAGATCGCTCGATTTTTTTCAAAGGACAAAAAAGGATCCTCAACTTTATTAAAGGATCATTTCAATCCCTCAAATCTTTAAAAAGAAATCAAAATAATCCACGGGAAGACTATTTTAGTTCCTTTTTAAAAACATAAAGGAACAAAATAATTCTTTAATATAATTATGAACCATTTTGATCTTTGAGTTTTCTGTAGCATAAAACTATGTAAACAAAGTGAAGAATAATTCAATTTATATTTAGCTTTATTCGTAACGATGAAATACATGAAAGTTTACACTTAAAAGATGATCAAATATGTAACTTTACAGAACATCCATATACCAAAAGGCAGGCTAGAAACCACATCACTAACAATTGCCAGTTTGCCACACATGGTTGCAAAGTAAAGTTTGAATGCAGATTTAGGGTTTATAAATTTCAATAAATAAATTACCAAAATGAGCTAAAAGTTAGGCATGCAAGCATCAAGAGGGTGACTGATCATATGACTATACAAGAGATATTGATGAAAATGATGCTTACTTCTCACTCAGGAGGACTGGTGGCTGCGGCCGCGGCCCTGGTTGTCGCGGCCCTGGACGAATGTGGTGATGGTGATGGTGATGGCGATGGCGGCATCGGCACTATGGGACAGGATTCAGGAACAAAAATGGAGGCGAGTTCTGGAGATGAGCTTCGCGGTGCGATAGCAGATAGAGTTGAGAGGGGTGGAATAGGGTAGACTTCGGTGACTTCCTCGGCGCCTTCATCCATGTAAACAACATCCTGCATTGTGAGCTGGTGGTATTCGACGATCTCTCTCAAGAACCGGTTTTCTCGAGCATAGACAGAGTTCTCATGCGCCAGTCGTCCCTTCTCTGCTAGCAATGTCTCCAATTGTAACCTTATCTGAGAAGAAATGGGAAATAGTCACCATACGAGGGGTCAAATAGCAGCAAGCAATAGAAGATTTTTTATTGACTATATAAAGATAATCAAATACCATAATAATTAGGGGTGTAAATGAGCCGAGTTCGAGTGAGTTCATGTGGTATTCGGCCTAGTACATGTATAACTTAATTATAAAAGTTACTTCAAATATTAAATCAATGGATCTTGTGAATTATAAATAACTAAATGAAAGAAAGATCAACATGTATATTATTTATTCCACATATCAAAATTATAATTTTTTGCAAAGATTACTTGACATTATTCTTGATAAATGTTATTTAAGATAAAGGTAATTAAGTTCTATATTAAACTTAATTATATTTTGATTCATCATCCAGAATTAAAGTAAAATTCACTGATTAAAACTAATTGATTTAGCTAATTTGAAAATCAAATCGCCCAAACTGATCAAATACACACCACTGCACAAAGTTTTATAGCATGGAAATTGGCCTAAATTGGTTTTTGGTGGGCTTGGTAGCATAGAAATTGGCAAAGTTCAGTTGATGGACCTGTTAGCTTATTTTTTAGCCTTATGTTGTATAGAATTGTTTGAGGACTGAACTTCGTAAGGTGTTATTTGAATTAGCAATATGATATCAACTAAACCCATATTTAATGATCAAGGCAATAATAAATCTAATTGGCCTTTTAGATGATTAAACAACCTTGAGCAACCTTTGCTTTAAATTATTAGGGTTCTAATTGGCTTATTTAAGGCTCCCTTTCGTTGATTATGAAGCATCAACTAATTCCAATTTGGATCTACACAATCACTTTGTTGGGAAGTAAATAACGCAGCGAACACATACAAGGAAGAGAAAATGCAGTGGAAAAGAAAGATCACCAGGATTTAATGTAGAAAAACCCAAAACTGGAAAAAAATGGGGAACCACACCACATCAAGAAATTCACGATGAAAATTGAGAGAAATTATATAGATATCTTTCATCTCACTCTCTCATTCTCTCATTGTCTCTCTTCACTCTTGCACCGTTCTCTTACATAACTGACAAAGAGACACACCTTAATCACCCTAAGGGACACAGCCTTTCAAGTTAAACATGAAAACCAAGAAAGAAAATTGACTAGCCTCACTAGCAGAGCTGGGGTTTGGAGCGTCGCAGCACTCCACTCTGTCTCAAAAATGCAAAATAAGTGTTGATTATCGCAGCACTAGAGTATAAAACCCTGAACCCAAAGCAAGAGGAGGTCCCCTTGCAACCCCCGGCAAGCTCGACCGATGGAATTGAGATCCAAATCAACAGTACAACCCGATTGATTGACACAATTAGATTCCACACAGAACTAACATGCTTCTCTTGATTGAACGTCAAAGGATATAGTTTGAATTTCCATGAACCAGGATTGCAACAAATGTTTGATTACACATCTTCAGTTAAATCATAATACATCACAAGAAAATGAATAGGAACACTTGTACAGTGCTCAATAAAGTAAAAAAGAAAAGAAAACAAATAAAAATCTTGTTAACTTAGGTATCCACAAAACTTTCAATTCTTTGTCAAAGCAAACTCTCTCAACGTTCACTTCATGGTAGTACAATACAGCCAACAAAGAACTTATCCAATAAATGCATGTCATATTCTCATCTTTTGTTTGACTTTTATACAATCAATGTCTAAGCTCTCATTTTATTTTTGATATATATTCTATATTGAAGCCAAAAGTAATCTAACGCAGCTGGGACTTGTGATCACTTTTTGAGAACATAACATTATCAACTGCTACTTCATTTCTGGAGGTAGAGGTGCTTGTGGTCAGCAGCTGATTTTTGACAATTTTCTTATCATGATGCTGGTTTCATACTAAGAGAGGAGCAAAAAATAAGTGAGATGAAAGCTGCCCTTGGTGCCATTTTGGGCCTTTTATTTGAGCTACTTGTAGCGAACTCTAGCAGCAAAGGTGGTTGAGAGCACTTGCACGTGCATTGTTCAGTGGTGCAACTCATGGAAGACCGAAAATAATAGGAGCTGAGAAATCTAAGTTGAGCAATATCTCCCATAATTTTCATAATTTTTTATTTTTCCCCAGTTAAGAAGGCTATGTGCTCAGAAGGGGGGAATAGTAGAGCAAGACATGATTTATATCATGGGTAAAGCTAGGAGGTTATTTACACCAGCTATCATGGTGGGTGGTGACACGATTTATATCATTGAGGTTAAAAAAAAAAATATCCAGATTGTGCAATGGGATGTTCCTATTGATTCTGGCCTCATGGATAACGTGACCGAGTAAGGAGCTAGAGATGGAGGTCCAGGCGAAAGAGACTTTAGTTTTGAGAGGGTGTTTAGCTGATAGGATTGAAGCCATGGAAGACAGAATAGGAGAAAGTCAAGAGTGAGCTGTTCTAGGTGAAAGGTAAGGGTTTCTCTGATATAGAAGAAAGGAGGTAAGTTTAGTCAAAACATGATGTATTTATGATTTCAGAGCATCATGGACGAGATGCGAGGGGCGAAATATCATGGAAAGCAACTGGCATGTGGGATCCTTATCATCGTGGGTATCAACACGGGCATTAGGGAGTTGTGGTTCCTATGGTTCATTTGACCTTCAGTAAATACAAAGTGTTGAACATTACAGGTCAGATGGATCTGACACGATAAGTTTTTACTACTCCCCTCCTAAAAAATCTAAAATAATTAAAATTCATTACCCATTAAACCACCGAAAAGTACACAATGAACTTGATGAATTAATTAGTATCCTATTAAGTTCAATCATGATCAAACACAACTTCCTCAACTCCATGATCTCACTTCTCTTTTATTTTGAATTATTTAACCCCATGTAATGGCAACCCCACATTTAGCCCTAGAATCCAACCAGTAAAATAAGACGTTGTTTTCTAATACTTTGTTAATAACACTGAGTCTTTCATAAGCATCATGTCTTTTTTTATCCTATTCTCACATGACACACTTTAAGACCTTTAAAACCCTCACCGTGAAAATACATATCCTCGGGAAAAATTTTTCTTTTAACTTTCAGATCTATTAGTAATCAACAAGATTAAGAAATGTACCTAGAGAATAAGATACATGGTAACATCATTTTGAAGAGAAAAAAGATCAAAATAATCCTTTGACTCTTTATGAAAATGATCCCTAATTATATTAAAGAATCATTTTGGTCCTTCAAGTCTGTAAAAAAAATCAAAATAATTTCATGGTAGGGCTATTTTGATTCTCTTTTAAGGAATTGATGGACGAAAATGATCCTATCTTCTCCTATTTAAATTTCATAAGGGAAGAATAGCTATAAACATTCAAGATGTAGTTTATGATCAATAAATCATAAATGTAGAGTTCTGAACAAATGGTAAATGTATACAGAAAGATTTTAAATCTCATTAGACACACAGATCAGCAAGAGAATAATGTGGAAGACAACCAGTTCATTGCAAGATTAAATAGAAATGCACGAAACCGTTCGAATTAAAAAAAAGGACTAGATGATAAACAAGATTGTGTAAAATAGGAGATATGGAAAGAATTATAAATGCTTTCAACATATATTTTACCCTGGTATAAAGTATAAGCCTTTGCAATTGCATTAAAAATGCAATAAGAATTTCAATAGATTGTTTGCTTTCAGCAGATAATAAATAAATGCCATAAACAAAAAAGCTAATTTCTTCTCTGATTTTCAGACCCAAACGCATTTGAATAACATCTAGTATTTAAAGAAATTAAAGGACAAGCATACCAGATCATCATCTTCTGGATTGCTGCCTTTCTCAAGACCCTCTCTTAACATTCTGTTCTCCTCTTCAAGTTGAGTGCATCGTTCCTTTGCAAAAGCAAGATCTGCCTTGACAGTCTTCATCTCCCGCATAAGTAGTTTGGCCTTTGCAGCCATTGCATTTGCAACCTGTAAAAGTTAAAAAGGACGTAAAAAGAGAAGAGGTCAATTATTTCATTAATGAATGAGCGGCATAATAAGAGGATTAAATATAGGGCCATAAAATAAGAAGCTTGGCCCTTGCACCCATCCATTTACAGCCTGGAAAAGCAGAAAAAAAGCATAAAACGAATATGGCATTTATATCATTCATACCTTAAAATACCCTAGTACAGAACAAAGTGATATTCAAAATAAATGAGTAGATGCCATTATAACCGACTCCAGTAAGGAATTCTTCAATGCGGACGGTGAAATCAGGAAACATATTTTATGCAGTCCATAATGACTCTTAGACTCATAAGTCAAACCATACAGTGCAATTGCCCAAGAATCAACTACTACTCCAACACCGAGTTAACTTAAATCTTGTATTCACCACCAATAACAACAACATCAAGTCTTTATCCCACTATGTGGGGGTCAGCTACATGAATCTTTTTTCTCCATTGTGTCATGTTAAGAGTTAAATTCTCATTTAAATCTAATAAAAAAGATCATTTTTAATATTTCCTAACCAAGCCTTTTTTAGGTTCACCTCTACCTTTCTTAACATAAGTCAAATCTAATGCATCATTGAAAGGCCGCCAATTTTTGTGACCAAACCAGCTAAAGTGACTCTAATCTTATCTTCCACTGGAGTTACTCCAACATTTTCACGTATATGCTCATTTCGTATCCTGTCTCTAAGAGTAAAACCGCTCATCCACCTGAGCATCCTACTCTCTACAAAATTCATATTATGCTTCTCTTTTAATGGCCAACATTATGTACCATAAAACATTGTAGGTCTCACCACCATCCTATAGAATTTTCCCTTAAGTTTGAGGGGAACTTTTCTATCACACAACAAACCCAAAGCATTCCTCCGCCTCAACCATCCATCTTGAATTATACTAATAATATGCTCATCTATTTCAACATCACTCTGAATAATAGACCAAAGATATCTAAAACATATACTCTTATTAATGACTTGATTGCCCAAAGTCACAATTCCTCCACTAGATTTATTAATACTAAAAGTATACTCCATATATTCTGCTTTAGATCTACTCGACCAAAAACCTTTAGACTCAAACGTTGACCACCATAATTCAAGTTTACCTTCAACTCCTTCTCTAGTCTTAACAACAATAAAAATAGCATCAGCAAATAGCATACACCAAGGTACAACCTCTTGCAAATGTCTAGTGAGAACATTCATAACTAAAGCAAAAAAAGATATGGGCTTAAGGCTGATCCTTGATGTAATCCAATAGAAATAAAAAAAATACTTGGTCAAACCACCTTGTGTTTGAACACAAGTAACACTCCTGCATACATATCCTTAATGACTTGAATATAAGCATTATTAACACCTTTCTTTTCTAAAACTCTTCATAGCACTTCTCTTAGAACTTTACCATATGTCTTCTCTAAATCAATAAATATCATATATAAATCCTCCTTATTCTCTACATACTTCTCTATCAAACCTATCAATAAATGTATATCTTTCCTAACACCTACATGGTATGAGACCTACCCAGCATGAATCCAAATTAATTTTGAGAAACATTAGTATCATGCCGCAACCTATGCTCGATAACTCTCTCCCATAGTTTTAAAGTATGACAATTAACTTAATTCTTCTATAATTCGTATAATCTTGTGCATCACCTTAATCTTAAAAAATAGGAATCAACATACTCATTCTCCACTAATCTGACATCTTTTTAATCTTCAAAATAATATTAAAAAGTTTAGTAAGCTAATAAATTCCTTCATCTCCTAATCATTTTCACACCTCTATTGGAATATCATCAAGTCCAATAACTTTTCCACACTTTATTTTTCTTTAAAGCCTCTCTAACTTCGGTTTTACTAATACGCCGATAAAAACAAAATCTTTATTTTCATTTAGGTTGCTAAGGTCACTAAAGTCGATTGCATTCTCATAATCTTCATTGAAACGTTTAAAAAAATATCTCATCCACCTTTGTTGAATATCTTCTTCTAATAAAAGCTCTTTTTGATTTTCATCCTTAATACACTTCACTTGAACTAAATCTTTACTACCCCTATCTCTTTGTTTGGTTAACACACACACACACACACACATATATATTATATATATCTTTTGCCATCCTTAGTATATAATATATTATATAAATCATTAAAAGCTAAACTTTTTACATCACATATTGCTTTCTTAAACTCCTTACGGACCTTTTTATATCTTTCCTAATTATCAGAATGTTTTATATTTAAACCAATTTTTATAACAAATATTCTTATTTTTTAACTTTTTCATTGCATATGTTGAATCCACCACCAACTATTTTTATTATTAAGAAATTTTTCCTTTGATACTCCAAGCACATCTTTTGCAACATTCTTAATGTTACTAATTATTTTTTTCACATAATATTATCTTTCTCATGCACAAACAAAATCTTAACATCTAAAATCTTACTTTCAAAAATATTTTTCTTAATATTCTTTAAATGCTTCATCTAATCATAAAACAATGTTTTACTTTATTTTTTTATTTTCTACCGATTCATTTTAAAGTTCAAAACTAATAAGTAATATTGGGTATATAAACTTTCACTCGGAATAACTTTACAATCTTTGCAATATAAATGATTAATTTTTTTTATAAGAGAATAATCAATCTGAGTTTTACTATATCCATTCTCATAAGTGATGAGATGCTCATCTTTTTTCTTAAATAAGGTATTAGCAATTACAAAATTACAATCTAAAGAATAATATAATATGATCATACCACCTTCATTAGTCGCTCCAAACCAATAGACACCATGAATGATTTTAAAATCATCGACCTCACTACCAACATGTCTATTTAAATATCGTTCAATATTTTTTTTTTCTTCAAAAGAAATCTTTTGTATTAATTATTCTAAGTCGTTCCAAAATTTTAATTTTGAACTTATATACAAACCTACTTAAGGAACATAAGCACTTATAATATTAAAAATCTTAGCATCAAGATAGGAAGTGGATGCGATATCGTTGGATCTTCAATTGGAGATAAAGATCCAGCTCTCCCAAATCCCTAGCCGCTAACTAAAGCCCAAATAACCTAAGAATAAACTAAATTCGGCAAACTCACAAAACATAATTTGAAATAACCCTATTGTTAGCCTTAAATAGGCTCTCATAATTCCCTCCCAAATCAGCCACCTTTCCCAAAATAATTCCTTTTCAGATTTGAATTCAAATTAGATTTATTTTCCTAATTAATTTTCTTCCAATTGTAATTAATACTTTCCTAAACAATCCCCCATTAATTCCTCCTTATTTTCCCTAAATAATTCCCTCTTAAATTTTGAATTTAAATTAGATCTCTCGCGTAAATAATTCCCTCCCAATTATAATTTAAATATTTCTAAATAATTTCCCTTTGATTAAGAACCTTCCTAAACAGCTCCTCTTGATTAGGAAACTTTTTGATTCCCTCCCAATCAAATCTGCCAGTACATCACATCAACAATGATTTTTTAAGCTATAATTATATCTCCAATTATATTAATTTTTATAATATTATACTTTAAACTCTTATTTATAATCATACCTACACTATTTCTAGTACGACTCTTACCAAAATACTACGGTTTAAATCCTAAACTATCAATCTCCTTAGCATTCTCTCAAACGTATTTAGTTTCATGAATACATAGAATACTTATTTTCGTATAAATCATAATATCTATTAATTCTATTAATTTGCCTATAAGGAAACTTATATTCTAAGTTCCTAAAATAATTTTAGTTTTAAGTACTAGCTTCTTTGCCTACATTCGTCCATAATGTGGGAACTCTTGCCTATATTTAACACTGCACCCAAGCAATTATTTGTTGCAGCTTACATGGACATCAATTTTATGATTTCCTCCAAAATTTAATCATGAAAATGTTTTTTTGTTGTAGTTCTTCGTAAATGAAATATGCAGCCAATGAATAGGGACCAGGATGATGTGATAAATAAGTTTGAACTAAGCAAACCAACATACGCATAACAATTTCTACATGCCATCCAGTGATACAAAGTTGCCACCTTACGTCGCGGGATGCCTTCAGTTGTGTTTCATAATCAGACTGAATTTGAGGGAAGCTGTTCAAAGATGTTTTGTTTTTATCCTGATTTTGTCCGGTTTGGCTAGCTCCTTTTCTCCGGATTTGCAATTTTCGGGTTTCCTGAATGATGTCAGCTGTTTTGTTCTCCACAATTGTCAAGCCTTCCTGGATATAAGAGAGGCATTATCTATTAAGTATTGATAAAGAGCTTTTGGAAGAAAAGTACTCAAAGAAAAAGGAAGCTAATACTTACTTCAAGAGCATTTTTTATGGTGCCACCAATGTAATTAAGGGAAGAAGTTATAGAATCTGAGCTTTTTTGAGGTGGAATCTCCATCTTTGAGTAAATCTGTGGCGGCTGTTGGGTTTGATTGATCTGCAACTGACAAAATGTCAACTTCCCAACGAAAATGCTTACACCTTTCCACAGCATGAACATAAAGCCATGCTAAATACTAAAAGAGAATCCGGTAAGTATTAGGATAATGTCCACCATACAACAGCTCGAGGTGAAAACTCTCCTGTGGAATGGGTTTGGACAGCAAGACCACCTATAAGGTGTTTAAGTCTTACAAGGCACGCAAACTCACTTAGGTAAACGGCACCAATAATTTGAGAAGGCCCAATATTGTCTGTGTGGTGAAAGGAAAGAGCTGAGACACTCACCTTTCTAAACTAAGTTGCCGAATTTCAAAGAATAAATGACACATTTTTTTAACACTTAAATGTTGATATAGACACACTGAAAAGCAAAAAATTTAACATCAATAATAATAAAGTAACAAAAAACTATAAAGTAGTGTATTTGTGTATAGACAAACACACATGCAACCATAAAAGTGCTTAAATTCATAATTAATTGACTAATAACAATCCTTTCAAATTCATTCATTCTTGGTTTTTTTCCTACTATGTTGCACCGATACGGATATGGCGACACGGATACGACACGATACGAATACAGGACATGTCAATTTTTAAAAATATAGGATACGGGTACGACGCGGACACGGCATTATAATTTATAAATCATACATAAAATTTAAGAAATCAATCAAAGCATAATATTTGAAATTACAAAAAAAAATGACAACAACATCATTTGTAGCCTTGTAGCTTATAATATCAAACTATAAGCAAGTATTAAATGTCTAGTACAACAACAAAAGCATAAACATAAATTGTTTAGAACACGAAGTTTTAACTATTCAATAGAATGAATGATATGATTAGCTTCTTCAGTGATTTGTCTTTGAACTTCTATATCATCTTCAATAAATATCATAGCTTCAAATTCAGGCTCATCAAATGAAAGATTAGTAATTTCTAATATTCCCATGTCATCAAGAGAATCAAATCCATTTTGGAAATGAGAGAACCTTGCTCGCAGCCACGGAAGTAAATACGACGCTTTTTTTTTTTTGGATTTCTTTTTGCTTTTCAAGGGAAACGCGTATCGGATACGCGTTTCCTTTTGAAATTAAATAGTATTTTAATTGGATATGGCTTTGGCTTATCCGACACGTATTGGTGACATATCTAAGGCATGTCTGTGCATCGGTGTATCAGATACAACATGCCTTCATAAATAGGTGTATCGGTGCAACATTGTTGTCCTATAATCGTACAACCTCTCTTCTAAATAATTTCTAATTGTTATACCTTATCACTCATTTCAACAAAAAAGCTCATCCATTAAAATTTTCGTTGACACAAATAAAACATACATAAAAGAACCCCGCTTTGAATATCTTTTGTGCATCGCACTAACTAAACAAAATGTCAAGTTGATTCTTGAACTATTTTCTCTTAGGTGTAAGAATTAAGAATATAATGAAGTTTCTTTGATAAATAATCCTTCTAGTGATAATGTTGGTGGGGAAGGACAGTAGTAGGAAAAGGTGAGGATGCTGTAGTGACCGTATCCCCCCTCCCCCGCCCCCATTATCCGTGCAGCATCTCCTACTACTACTCTTAAAAAAAACCTCACAGTCCATTCCATCCATGTTATAGATTGATTAATTCAAGAGTGCCTTGATTGCACAAATCAGTCCTCTCTCTTCGTAATCACAGCCCCAACAGTTTGAAAAAGAAATTCAAAGATGGAAATAATAAATATATGAAAAGACTAATAGAATTTACCTAGGAAGAGAAAAAAAAAACAAGCAAAATCTGGAAAGCACTACAATAATTTATCGCAAGTTATTTGTACTGTGAAAGCTGGACAAGTTGCAGCGCAATGATTAATAAAGGAAAATGGTTCATTCAAATGGAGGCTGCTGTTGGTCAAGAAATAAGTTTGAATGGAAGATGAAGTTGCTAGTCATTACAGGAGGATAAACTATTTGGCAAAAGAGAAAAATAAAATAAAATAAAATAAAAAGCAAAAGAAGCTGCATATCTACTCTAGTTTGTAAGGAAGTCATAAATTAACTAAATTGAGAAGTATAATAAATCAAAGCTTACTATCAAGAAGTTAATCGGAACAGGAAGTAGAATGACCTTTCAGGATAACATTGCAACAAAAGCAAAGTGCAGCCAGGCCCTCTAGTTTACATCAATTTTGGAAAAAAATACCTTATTAAGACTCAATAATGAGGGAGTCGTATGATTCTTACCTGTCTAACAGACTTCTTATCAACCATCTTGGGATGCTCTCTTTCATATGTTTCAAGTTTCTGAGCCGCAGTATCATCTTCAAGAAAGCTTTTAGCTTTTCTAGCAAGAACACCCCAAAAACCATTTTTGGATTCATTCAAATTATTCATTGATGTGTACTCATAAGAAGTAGCATCCTGCAGTGAAAAGTCAAGGATGGCTTGCAATTAAAAAACGATGAGACTATTTGCAGTAAAAAAGTACACATGAACGACAATAATATAAACAAGTGAATCATTGAATCCAGTCAGCATTTTCATATAAAAAGAAATCAACAAAATAGTCCAAGTTAATCGAACACTGAAAAAGAGACATTCTCCGAGATCACTTCATCAAAGAAGCTCACAATGTAGGCTAGTCTCTATATAAATAAACAAGATACTGAACAATATCGTTTAAATTAGTGGATCAGATTTGGCAATATTTCAACGATGTGGCTTCTACATGTTATAAATTAAAGGAAAGTTGGGAAACTAAGAATAGTTATTTTCCACTAAAAGGTGATTACGTTAGCAGTGAAATATCAACAGAAAAGTAATTTTCCAGGCCACGTTCAATCCCTTGGTTAAAAATTTTGCAATTTGTTGGCTCCACAATGTCATTGTATCAAGAGGCGCTTTGTCAGATTGAAATGTCCCGAACTGCAAAAAAAAAAAACAAAACATGGTACTCCAATACTATGCCATATGAATAGATGTCAGCTAAAGTAGGGAAATTATCTCTAATTGCACCAAAAATTTTCGCAAAAATAAAGAGCTTCATTGAAGACCTCCAAAATGTATAAACGTCAATTTCTTGTACCCTCAACATTTCCCATCCGATGATTCATATAAAAATGACATTAAATTACAAAATCACAATTTCCATGCAATACATCACAAAAACAAAAGCAAGCATGGCACACAAGCATACATGCGCAGCATGAATACCCAGCGAATGAACTAATAATAACACAGAAAAATGAAAATACAAGGTGATCAAAAAGTCCTGCCCAAGCTAAACTAAAATATTCCTTTCAATTAGCAACAGAATAAACTTATACTCACTAGCCTCCAGATCAATTTTATGCAATAAATCACCTAAAATTGTTCAAAACCTCAGAACCTCTAATGCTGATCGTGCAATTATCATATAAGCATGTTTCAATCGAACTGCACAAATTGATTCAATGAATAGAAAATAATCAATCACCTCTCGAAGATATGAAGAACTCTGCAAATTTATATACTTGGAATCCAATTTCATGTACTAGTTCCAGAATAATACATGTACTTTTCTGGCCAGTTACTTACTCCACATGCAATCATCATATATTACTTCCATAACACAATACAATTCAATTTTAGAAAACAATTATTTTGTAAGCTACACTAAAAATAATCTGAGTGAATCAAATTATGAAGCTTTGGTATCCATCCACATGTTAAAACAAGAAAGAGCTAAGTTGTGATTGCAAACCAATAAGAAGGCCACCAAAAGCTTGAGTGGAAAGGAAGTGGGAGTACTCGATGTCACACTAGACGGAAAATTTTTGTTTTGGGTGAGAGTTAATGAGCCACGGTCCACCAAAGTGACGAAAATTCAGTGTGAGCAGCACATGCAATTACGGAGAGAGGTGGTTGCTGCCACAAAGAAAGTGACTGCTGCACTTTCACCTGGAGAGAAGATATGGTTACATCCGCAATGGCAAACAGAGTTGCTTCTTCCACTTAAATGTGTGGAATGAAGACGGGCCAAATGATTGGAAGTTGCTTTGATATTAGGAAAAAAATCTCCAAAACATTATTCCAGCTAAAGCTGTTGGCTGGCATAATATCAGCATTTGCTACTTGCAAGCAAGTTAGTCCCCTCAGCAAGAGCTCAACCAGAAGAATACCATCATTGTTTGCTTCACTGCGAGTGTGTAAAAATATTTTGAAATCTCCCACCTTGGCCCGCTGTCTGCCCTAGTTCAAGACTTCCGCCTCCTACAATGCCTCCTCTAAATCCTCCACTTCATGCACCAGTCCAACTAGCACTACCACCTCAACACTCCATGGGTTGTCCAGATTATAATAAATCATGATGTTAATTGTCAACCCCTAAATTTTATATATTCCTATTACAGGTTCTCCTAGCCTTCAATAAATTCATTACAAAGGATGAAATAAGATCACTCCAATTCATGTCGCTCTCTATCGCAACATTCTTATTATTATTCTCCTTTCTCTTTACAACCAATTGCTACAACAATTTTTCTTTCCATGAATCACAACAATATCTATGTTCCCTTAGTCTTAAGTTCATTTGAAATTGAGACCAAAAAATCCAAACCCAAAAGGAGATTTCCAAATATTTTTCCATAATGAGTATGCCAATAATAGATTGCTCCATAGTGAGCAATCCCATACGAGTTTAATAACTACTATAATTAAGAGTATAGACAACTTTGGCTATAAATAGCCAACCATAGAGCTTCCAAGACGACTAAAAGTCCTAGGAAGATTTATCAACATTGTCAATTGAAGCTATACCTTAATTTAATCTTGGTGGGCATGTTGTCCTTTCCTTTGTGAGGCCAAAGGCTTTTGAAAGGATAGGATTCCACAAGATGATGCATGCATGAATCTAGTTGTCCCCAAATTGGATGCGAGATTCAATGGAGACTAAGACAACATTGTCCAAAGAGAAAGTCACTAAAAGACCTTTGCTTAACTCTATGATCAACTAGTTTGTCATTGAAAACTTTGAAACTTGGATGTTAGAAGTCTAACCTCCTGAAAAATTTTTGAGAGCAAGGACCAAGATTAAGTTCAGAAATCATATTCAACCCAAAAAACTTTTGCAAGCTACCAATGCAAACACTATGCCGCTATGGGCATGGCCGCTACAACCAGATTTAATGTACTAACACAAGTGATGTTCCACCTTATGGGCATGCTGCAAAAAGTGGTTTAAGTTATGATGCCTAGTCCTAGAGCACAATCATTGAGATGTCCTTATTGCATGCAAAGAGAGGATTAAGATCGCCATTATGTCCATGGTCACTGAGAGAGATCCAATTTTAACCTTAGATCTATGAATTTTAGCAAAACAAGAATATTGTTTAGCAATGTCCAAAGATTCAAAGATAAACATTTGCTAGAGAAGTAGTTGGAAATTTATAGGCTCTAAAACATCTCATGCCACCCGTTGAAGGGCATCCTCCACTTTTTTGGAGTTTAAAAGGAACATTATAACATTTCAATAGCAATTTGAGACAATGTAGCTCTAAAGAGTTCTATTGTGTAGTTGGCGGAACAGGCAAGGGTATATTTCAAATGCATTTTGAAGCAATCATGCTTCATAGAATATAATTTCAAATCAAAATCTATAAAAAGAAACTATTTTTGGAGGGCAACAACTAGAGAAGTATTTAATTCCATTTTAATCATATTTTTAGATCCTCTACAATGCAAGTGCTACTTGAAATAGGTGTCTATAAGCTTCAAGAAGAAGAGTATATAAATCTTTGAATCATTATTTGTAGACAAAATCCATATAGTTAACCTTAAAAATAAACTGTATTTTATATTTGAAATTTATAATGTTTTAGTGTTGTACTCTTACTTCAAATGTAGAACTTTTCCATGCAAATTGGTATCTGTGAAACTTGGCTTTTTCTTATGCCTTTGGTTCACTCTTTATTAAATTCATTCTTATCTAAATCTAAATTTCAATTCTTTTTGCTCTCTGTAATTTGGTATTAAAATTATGTTAAAAAAGAAAAACAAAACCTCACTACACTCTCTACCAATTTGAGCATTTAACATAAATTTTTTCTTCAAATTGCCACAACATGCAATATTAAGAGTGGGGCCATGAGTAATCTAGTTGGCTTGGTTATAGCTCAATTACAGCTCGAATAGATGAAAAAAATAAAAAAGCAACCTTGAATAATATTAGAAAACCTAAGACATGCAAGATCGGCTAGATGTGGAAAAAAATAATGAACCACATAAACAAGCCGACCTGATGTTCAAATAAAGAGGCCAATGAAAATCGATGAAATATTAGGTGATTTACAAGCAAGTCAAAATGAAATGGTGAAATTGCCCAAAATCCTCCAAACTCTAAGAGATCCTATCAAATCACAATTCTAATTTATTATAGTCTCCCTTCCCAATTTAACTAGCAAAGGTAGCTATATTGAAAATTTAGCCATAATCTCGTGGTCTCATTTGATCCCTCTATTTTATTTGAAAATAGCTACAAAGGAGCCACTTCAATCAAAATGGCGATCAATGCAACACAGCAGTACAGCACCCAAACCCTCATAAAAGTTCCACATGACTAAAATAGCTGCACATAAAAAGCAAAATCTACCATGAAAATGGATAGAATCAAATGTATGACCACTCCAACAATCATTCTCCCTACTGTTCCACCAATCGGGTATGCTAGTACACATGATCACCTGAATGTCTCCAAATAGAACTACAACAAGCCTTCCTACCGTCTCGTCATACCCCTAATTCCACCAAATCCGAAATCTCTGTTACAAAAACGTAAGACTTGCCAATCCAAGCAAATAGGCAACATTCTCAAGGTAGCAGAAGAGAAGCGCTCACCAGCCCAGCGTTGGCCGCCTTCTGTCGATTGGACTCCCTATTCGCAGAGGCAATGGCGGACTGACCATACACAGACGACAGCGAGGAGTCTCCATGGGCTGAGGAATCCCTGATCGCCCGCGCGGCGATGGAATACGGAGGTGGAGACGTCACTGCCGACGTCACCTCCACCGCAGCAGATCCTATGTCCTCTATACTCGATGCCCTAGCGCTTCCCACTTTCCTCCTGTACGCCATGAACCTCACCGACGACCCGCGCCCGAAGAAACTCGACGACCCTCGCCGAGGAACCCTAGCTATGCCAAAATAAAGAGAAGGCCAACCGCTCCGGCCACCTCATCTGAGTCTTCCTCTCTTGATACCCAGCTACGCCTCGCTGGAACTTGCGGGAGCGAGATGGATTGATGTGACGGTGGAGGCTTGGCTTCTGATCTTCTCGGTGATGGAAAATTTATATATAGAGAAGACCTAATTGGAGGATGCCGCGCTCTACTGTTTCGCGTTTCAGGAATCCAGCTTGCAGACGTGAAAAAAAGACGGTGAACTGATTCCCGTCCGGTTCGCCGCCAACAACCGTCATGATCTAGAGCCGTTCATTGGGAACCAACGGCTCAGATTTTTAGAGATAGAAGTGAGGTTTTTTTTTTGGTTTGCTAGAGGGATTTACAAGGATAAGATTCAAAATTATTTATATATATCACATCTAAATTTTACTATTTATAAATATAACACTTTTTTATTAGAAATTTTTTAGACATTTAGGTGCTCAAATTTAAAATCTCTTGGTTGATAGTCAAAACTCTCAATCAATATTTCAAACTAAGATGCATTTATTAAAACACTTGACAATAAAAATGATCTTGATACAAGCTTTTTGGATGATTAATAAATGAGAAAGTCACGATAAATTTTTATTGGGACCTGTATAGATGGGACCTACAGTGACTGAAATAAGAAAAATGAATGAAAAGTCGAGATGGGATTTCGCTAAAAGGGGATTTATCGGGCTTGCAAATTGAGGAAGCGAATATTTTGAAGAATGACAAGAATTTATAGCAACATTCCCTTACATGAAAATGGATGATGGAGAAAAAGATAAACATAGAAAAGAAGGGAGAGGAAGAATTGGCCAAACATGAAGATAGTGACTATGTGAAAGATGGAGATGGAGGAATTTGTTCTCTACTCTCATGTTTACATTATCGACAGAGATGAAAAAGATATGGACTCATCTTCGTCAATAATTTCATTAATAGAATGCTAGATTTCAATTTTAATGAATGTAAGTGCTAAATATAGATATTATATAGTTTTTAGTGCCATTTATACAAATAACCTTATTTAACTCTCTCTCTCTTCTACTACTAAATTTTTAGATATTTAATATATATATATACATTCTTATATTTATTTATATAATTTTATAATTTATAAATTACATTAAAAATATCATTGATGTTGATTTATCAAAAATATATTATAATTTTTTATATTTTTTCATGTGATTTGAATAATAACATATTTCATAAATATAAAGATTTAGATATTATGTAAGAATATAATAATTCAGTGGTATGAATATAAATCATCCTTCTTACTTATAGCACTAATTTTCTCACATGTGTAAGCTCTCGATAAGTTTTTTTGCATATTTTTTAGTTTTTAGTTTTTTTGTAAAATAATATTAATAGAATTACATTCATGTGATTTAATTAGAACTATGAACATAATCCTATAAAAAAATTTACATTATCCTGAGTTAAAGAAAAAAAAAGCCAAAATATTATTTTTGTAATAAATTAATTTAACATTCTATGCCTAATTATGATTACTAAACGATTATTGAATTTAATGATCTTAAATCCTAATTAAAAGGATAATTAGCCCAAGTAAATAATATTACTTTTACTATTCACAAAGATAAATCGGATGGTTTTCTGTGTCCGGCCTCCGCACATAATAATTCATCTTTTAAAAGGTGAGGGAGAGAGAGAGTGAGCTTGAGGATTTAAGGTTGTAGAATCTCTATAAAATGTCTACATAAATATAAATATTCATTTACTTTCATACAAAAGAGAATATTGAAAAAGAGGTAATTAAATAATATTAGTTATGCGATGATAATATGATAATAGCATATAAATAACAATTAATGGATTACGACACTCCTTGAAAAATTCTAATTTTGATACTCCTCTAATTTTTTAGTGATCTTTTTAAGTGTTCTCATGCATGCATAATATAGTCTTCACAACAAAGTATTATATATAGTGGTTATTAAATAGTCCATTTTGGTAGACTCACTTTGACTCTCTAAATAATTCAGGTTGACTTTTTTCACTCTAAACCTTCGAAATAGTTACTATCAATTAAAATCAAGCATTTGTCAAGAAATAACGTCACATCTAATCCCTTATCACATAATTGACCGATGTTCAGTAAATAATACTTTAAACCTTCTACTAATAATATTTTTTTTTCAATAATACAATCATTAGTTTTGCTCGTCTTAGATGGTTTGGTCACATAAAATGATTACCGTTTGATGACCTGATTAGAAAAATAAATGTATTAGATTTGACTTATGTTAAGAAAGATAGAGTTTGACATAAAAATCTTTCCTCAGTAATATAAGCATTTGTATCAAATATATTGTTAATTAAAGAATTTAATTACCACTAAAAAATCACAGTTAAAAATTAACTCAAATGGGGCGTTGCGAGAATCGAACTCGCGGCCTCTCGCACCCAAAGCGAGAATCATACCACTAGACCAAACGCCCTGTATGCCACTTTATTATTTTTTATATTTATAAATTTAAATTAAGAAAAAAGATTTATAGCTTGCTTTTTTATTTTCTTGATTGCACTCTGGCTCTTTAAGTTTTTTTTTTTTTTAATGATATTTGAAATCAACAATATATGACATAATAAAACATCACAAAGCATAATATTCTTTAATTAAAATAATTATTTTGCTTTGTAAAAAATATAATTATGTGCATATCCTCAAATTCCAATTAATGAAAATTATGTTATCTATATAAACTAATTATAATTTGATCTCCCATCACTTAATAAGCAGTAGGGTTAGATCTATAATTTTATCAAAATTTTGGGGGATATAACTAATAATTCATGGCTTCTTTTATCACCAACTAACTAGTTAGTTAATGGCATTATTTTTAATATACAAAATGAATCTTTTATCACTTTTCTTTGTAATGTATTAATGTAGAAAATATAATAAATTGATAAGTGTGAAAATCATTTAATCCAACCCTTATCAATTGGATTTGTAATAATATTGATCCAATATGAGTTTTTAAGCAATTATTCGAACCCAAAGTGCTTAAAAAAAATCAAGAAATTTGATTAGTATTTTAGAAGCCCTGCAAACTCCAAATTCAATAAATTTATCATAAAAAAGCAGGCTTTGGCTAATCCAACAAAAGCAAAATTGCATGATTAAGAACATGTCCAAATCTTGAATTGGTAGAGTTGGGCTAAATCAGCTTGATTTGACCCAACTGGAAAATTAAATCCACATGCTAGTTTTTGAACCCTGTACCTCTTGCTTGGACTCCATTGCACATATGGCATCAAGTAGTTCAAGATGGTACACGGCTCATCTTGGTCTGTTGGTTGGGAGCTTAGGCTACCAACCAAGCCTTCGTTTGGGACGGCTTTTTTAATGCTTCTCAAGACAGCTTTCTAGACTCTAGTATAAAAATTTTATTTTTTGTACTAGAATATTGCTTTGAGAAGCAGTAAAAAAGCCGTCTCAAACAAAACCTAAGAGGTGCTCGGTTCGAGTACTGTATGAAATGAGTGTGTGAGTCTATCTTAATTGACCTAAATGTCTAAAAAAACAATTTAAGTAGTTCAACATGATGTTATTTACTCATGCATTAGAGACTTCGCCGTTGACGACAACCATCGAACCATCATCAACCTAACTTTATGCAGCATTGTAATCCCATTGGTGTACCACTAATGCTTCTAAGAAGTGTAAGCCATCATTATCCTAACACACCCATAGCCCTTCGCCTTCCTTGTCATTTTGCTACAGGATGTTCAATCCCCTATAAATATCTTATATTCAGCTAGGCTTCGTTTGATTGGAAATTTTTTGGTGCTTATTCCATTTTTAAATGACAAATTTATTTATTCTTTATTGTTTGGTTCGTCAAATCACGTTCTCAATAACTCCTTTTTTTTCTGCTGTTTTGAGAAGCTTTTTATATATGCTTCTCCGTTAGAAAACTCCATTTTTTGAACCAATATTTCTTAAAACTGTCTTTTACAAAAATACCAAACAACCAAAGGAAGCCTTAGAGGGGGACACTCAACCATGCACGCAGGGATTTATTAAGGCCCCCAGAGTTGGGCAAATTATTGCACCTGGTCACCGGCCGCGAAAAATAGGTTCGGACATCCAATAAAAATTTGTCACGTCATCTGCGCTTTCGACTGCGCTTTACCTGCGATTTTGACTGCGCTTTGACCTGCACTTTACCTGCGCTTTACCTACGCTTTTGATACGCTTAATTTAAAATAATATTTTATTAATATCCGGACCTATCTCCGCATCCGGTGACCAGATGCAATAATTTTCTTCAGAGTTAGCAGCACTATTGAAAATCAACATAGAATTTTAAGAGATTTAAAAAGCCACAAAATATTTATTTTATATGCATTTGCAAATCATCCAATTAAAAGTCAATTTGAAATGACTAAACTTTTTCATAAAACTAATTTTAAAGTTGTTACAAAAAGAAAATTTTCATCACTGGCTATGAGAAAACAAGACAGTAGCAAAAAAATTATGATTATTATCTGAAAAGTAAATGAGTGAAATTACTATCCCAAACAGACTCTAAATCAAAAGATCTTTAATGCCTCTCATTCTGTGCGAAGATCGGACGACAAAAACCATCCTCCAAATTTATTAAGCTTTAGCTGCACTTTTGATGCACTTTTGCAAATATTTAGCAAAAGGTTAACAAATATGCAATATATCAATAAATATACATTCATAATTGCATATTTGCTAACATTTTGCTGAGTATTTGCAACATTTTTTGAACATTTACAAAAGCATAATCAAAACACAACAAATATCTTACTAATTGAATATTTGCTATCATTTTACTGCGCTTTTGCAAATACTCAACAAAAAGGAATCAAAAGTGGATTCATAACTGCATATTTGTTGTCCTTTTGTTGAATATTTACAAAAGTATAGCAAAATGATAGCTAAAGGGCATCAAATCTGAACAGATCCCATTGTCCGATCTCCGCACAGACTAATTTCTCTCATTTGAGAGAGCTTAATTTTGCATTTTCTGTTTTGAAACGACAAAATCATTTTTAGGTTGTTGTTTGCATGTGTCACTTTTGTAAAAATGCTTTTTACAAAACTTCATTTTTTCACTATTTTCAAAAGTTTTTTGATATTTGCTTCTCAGTTAGAAACCTCCATTCTCTCAATCAACATTTTTAAAACTACCTTTTACAAAAGGTATTGATAACCAAATGAAGCCTAAATCCCACGCTACACTCGCTCATCCCACAATCCTCATCCCAAGACATGCAATATTTTATTAGCAAAATTTGCAATAAGTACCTCATAATCAGAGGTGATAAATATGATACCAGCAAAAGATACAAGTGATGGAAAGTGAAGTATTATATCCTTACATTACATACTGATTATCATCACATTAAATAAAAGAAATCCATACATCTAAAAAGTATATACACAGAAAGGATGAAATTAAAGTATTTCTCATTACAAAAATCATACTGCTCATTGAAGATTCTAAAGCAGCATGTTGAAGAGAGGAAGTGAGAAGCATTGAGTTCTTACCAAGCAGCAGTAGTGTTTTGTTGTATGATCTTTAGAAGAGAAGGCGCAGGTAAAGAATAATCCATCCAGCCATGGAGATTACCGCAAAAATATGAACCCAAAATAGAATAGCAGCTGATTCCTTTCCACATCCTCTTAGATTTGCAACAGCACCTACAATCAAATTTGAGAAGCATTTGTGGATAAAATTAGTGTTGGAGGATTAAAAAAAACACTAGAAACACTTGTAGATCTCTAGTATTTCCTATCAATCCTTGGAAAACAACGAGAATTCTCCACAAAAATTCACACAAAACCACAAAAACAGAAGATATTTTGTATTATTTGATAAAAGGGAAACCGAAAATACTAAGATACAATTGATCCTATATTCGAGAGGAGGATTTATCTCTCCCAAATCTCTAGATGCTGCTAGAGCCCAAAACTTAAACCTAAAAGATCTCAAATTTCAGCCAATATCAAGATGTACTAACCCCAGGAAAACAAACTATTTAATGCATACAAATCAAAAGAAAATCCCTAAACAGTCCCTACATTCAAATTTCCCACAAAGTCCCTCAAAAATCTATCCTAAATAGCTTTTCTGGAATCAGCGGCTCGTTCAGTGTGTCAAGGAGGCGGAACTTCCGCTTGTTTTGTCCGTAAGCCGGTCTCGTATGGACCGGTCCAATGGATTGGTCTAACACATAACTAATACGTCAAGGAACACCCAAGTAAGAAAGAAAAATAAGAATTTACTGTTAATAGTATGCAGTATGCAGTATGCACGCAAGTTTATATGAACTCTGGAATTATGTAAAATGCTGTGCTAGAAAATCAACTCCAAAAAATTTATAAAATGGCATATTATTAACAGGAAATTCATTTCAATAGTGAACGCGCAGTGTCTTGAAGGGTTAGTTTGACATCCTATTTAAGCAGGATTTAGAAAAAATTAGCTTAAATCCTGCCAAAAAAATTGGGGACTTCAGATCTCCTGTTTTGATAAATCCAATTTCAGCTCCATATTGATTCAATTCAGAATTTATTAAATCCCGTCATTCATGAGATTTAACAGATTTGAGGATCATCCCCTCTCATAAATTTTAATTCCTGAAACAAATAACCAAATCATTTATCAAAATTTAACTAGATTTCAAATTGATAGTGACAAACAATTTTCAGGTTTTAATCCTCTCATTATTTACTAAATCCTGCTTGAGTTTAATCTAACTTGTAGCTAACAGCCCCAGAATGTACAATAAGTTCTTAGAAGCAATTCAACAAGCAGGTTTAACAGTTGGAAAACCACAAAAGATTACCCACTGAAAGTTCCCTAATTTCTTCCAGCAGATATTATCTTAGGGAAGGTAAAAGAATTATCTAGTCACTATCGCAAACAAAATTAAGGATGCAATTGAAAATTCAAAAATCGATGATCTGTCTTTAACAGTAGATGGAATGGTGCAATACCAGAAAGCACAGAAGTAGGCATTGTATGCTGGAGCAGCAACACAAATCTGAACATTTTATCACCCTCTGGTAGGAAACCAAGTTTGTCAGCCAAGGTGACAATACCAAGCCCAGCCGGAGGAACTAATACCAAACGTGCAAATAGAATTGCAGCAGTTGTTCGAAAACCTAGCCTTTTGCTTCCTACGCCAGGACCTGTATAGAAATAAAAAGAAATAATTTGAGCATCCAAAAGAACATAAGATGATTTTAAGGTCAAAATTTACCCTAAGTGCAGGATTATTAAATGCAACTGAGGCATGCAAACCTATATCTAATCACCCCTCAAAGTTGAAAATTACACCCCAACCTCAAGATAGCTCTAAGAGTCTCTTTCAAGTGCCCAGCTTCGTTTGGTTATCCGGTACTTTTGTAAAAATGTAGTTTTAAGAAACATCGGTTCAAAGAAAGAAATTTTATGACGGAGAAGTACATATAAAAAACTTTCTTAAAATAGCAGAAAAATGAAAAAAATGATGTTATTGGGAATGTGATTTGCGGAATCAAACAATAAATTTATGGTTTTAAAAAGGAATAAGTACAAAAAACGCTCAATCAAATTAGGCCTGAAAAAGTAAATGAAACTTTTCTGCATACAGAGTTCTTTCAATTCTTATGGTTAAGCACTATAATTTTGCTTTTGCACGAAATTTGAACCAAATAATGGAGTGACTGACAACAAGTTGATTGCTTGTCATAAGAATTTTGCAAATATATATATATGTAGAGAGAGACTCTAATATCCCTTATTAGGATCCAGAAGCGCATCACAGAAAATAACCACAGTAATGCTGATGCATCTTAGCTAACCCTTTCATTACATAGACCTAAATGTTTACTGCAGCAGCACAAGGTGAACAAACTTGCCAAGCTAAGGACCATTTTACGCATGCTAAAAAGAATAGAGGAGAACGTTTACCATCAACTAGATTTCCTCCCAACGCAAGCAGAATGCAGGGAATCATAGCCTCCCTGACCAAATTCAAATCATGCATTGTTAGAAAACTAAACATAATAATAACTTATATTTGACGAAAATATTAGTAAATTTCCTCTATAACTTAAGTGATGAAAGTTATTTCTGATGTTAACAAGAAAAATTAATCTTGGAGATTAAAGATAAATTCCACCCAACTAAAATTACCATCTTGATCATAAGTTTTTGCATGAGTTTATGCTACTCGTTGAAAAAAAAAAACCCAACTTCTATGCAGGAACACCGACCAGAAGCGAATATCGAATGCGCAAAGAAATACCAAAGAGATTGAGCATCATAAGAAGACACTAAGATTTACTTGATTCGGCTAAAACAAACCTAACTCTATGAGATAGGAGAGATGATCTGATTTACTACTACGAAACTGCACAAATGAAATGATAAAAGGGGCATAAGAAAATACCCTGATTTAATGGGCATAGTGTCCTACATGTGAAGTAAATACAGTCTTAGCTTTTGATAAAATTTATTGGAGAGGCTTTTGGCATATACAAAAACCCCAAGTTGAGCGATAAACCCATTGCAATTATTTCCTGCTACATCCCCATCAAGATCTTGTCTGCCAAACACAATTGAATCATCGAGAGTGATTTTTTATCCACCTTCACTTTATCTTCTTCATTCATAGTCTCAGGCATATTGGAATGCCTCATGAATGCCATCATAATTTTTTAATACCAAGCATCTTAAACTTCTCAATCTCTAATTTAAGATAGTCAGCTATCCCATTGGATCCCTTCAATGACTTCGGTGAATCTCTTCTATTATGAGACTTTTAATATCCCAAACTTTCAATCTCGAATCAGCGATCGTCGTTTCGTTCTCGCGCAGGAATATGGAGCGTTCGACATCGCTGAGTGTCAAGTAAGACGAACGAATTCGATCCGTCAATTGGCGCCCCGAGGAGTCAAATGGTTCGTTTGCGAGAAGTTTCATCTCTTTATAATAGGGGGAAGAAGACGAGGAGAGATCGAGAAAAAGGGAGGGGGAACGAGCGATGACTTGCTTGCGCGCAGGGGCAAGGTCGGAGGTGAAGAAGACCTCGAGCTACTACAAGAAGCTTTTGCTGATATTAATTCTTATAAATTTAATCCATCGTTTATTATTGATATTTACCCATAAATTGTTCATAATTTATTTCTATTAAAAATAATTGTTCATATTAAATTGAATGACATTAATTTTCTATCAAATTATAGGCATAATGCTATGATAGAATGATATGAAAATGTAAATAAATTAATTTATATAGAAATACTTGTATGTGCATGCTGACTAATAAAGTATATCCCTTATAATACAAGTTGGAGAGGCAATATACAGACGTGTATGAAATGAAAAATAAAAAATAAAAATATAAGTACCTTATTTGGTGCTATTTAGATTAAGACTCATGGCAAAGTTTTATTAGTTATCAGAATGTAAACAATGTTATGAGTATTAGATCCACATGACATAACTTGTCAAAATTAATTTCAATGGAATTATTTAAATTTGTGAATTAAAACTATCATGCATATTACTTCAAATCCTTGTTATGTTACTATAATTTAGAAGCATGACATGCTCACTAGGTTAGGTCATAATTCACTAATATTCGACACTACCACTGTTGCAGGATGTTCCTTAGATTCTGAAGATATCATCTTATATATCATTAATGGATTTCCTTCTTCCTAACTGTCATTTAAACAGCTATAAGAACAAATCTGCAGCCACTTTATTTGGATGATTTTTACTCCTTGCCCTGCAGCAAGGAAACAAACCTGGTGAATGAGGCTGCTCGTGAGCTTCAAGTTGCACAAATATCAGAGCCTTCAGTTGCATTGTCTATTTTTCATGGACGGGTCTATCCAGCCCACCATTTGCTCACAAAAATCATGGTTGCTAAAATTCCATGACCTCTTCGATTTCTTCAATTCGTCAAACTTTAGTCACCATTCGAGGAGATCGCTCTTTTCAACCTCGGGTTGAATGTCAAATTGGGCCATTCAGCACGCAAATGTTGGCATCGCACCAACTTGGATGACAACAATTCTTCCTGTACTCTCCATGCTGAAACGTCAAACTCTGTCTACAAGAGCTGATTGGCATTTGGATTCAGGAGCAACATCCCATATAATCAATGACTCATCTCACCTTACTTCTTTAAATCCATACTCTGTTCTCAACAAATCATTGTCGGTAATGAACAATCTATTCCAATCGCTCATATAGGTCAAGGCCTTCTACCTACTCCTCACCGTAAGCATACCCTATCTCCACTTCTCCATGTCCAAAAAAATTCTCATAATATGATTTCTATTATTGCTCTATCTCATTTAATTCTCATGGCTATATTACCAAGGACATGAAGACAAATTGCAGGATCCTTTCAGAACCACGTTGTGACGGTATTTATCTCCTTATCTCTCCTTCATCATCTTCATCTTCCAAGTCTGTTGTAGCTCTCCTCTCCGATGGGTCATCTACAAATGACAATCTATGGCATTATCACTTAGGACATCCAACTCCAATGTTTTGTCCATCATCGCCCAAAGTGCTACTTCAGTATGTATTCCATCTCATATAGCTTTTTTTTTCAATATTATCAAGTTGCTAGGGGGTCATAAAAGTTCTTCAGTTATTTGACATTATGATGTAATTTTCCTTTTGCACTTGTTCATTCTGATGTATGGGAATACTCTAATCTGAAGGTGGCGGTGAATACTCCAGTTCTCTTCTTCAAAATTACTTTGCTCAAGCTGGTATACTTCACCAATTCAGTTGTTCTCAAACACCTCAACGGAATGGTTTAGCTGAAAGAAAAACATCATCACTTAGTTAAAGCTGCTCACACTCCTCTTGCAAGCTCATCTCCCCAATTCCTTTGGGGTAGATGCGGTGCTTACCACTACATATCTCATCAATCGACTTCATTCAACTGCATAAATTATGTTTCACATTATCAACTTCTCTATCATCATCCACACACTTATTCTCATCTCAAAAATTTTGGATGTCTATGTTATCCACGGCTCCAACCATATTCCAACCACAACTTTGCCCCAAAATATTCTTATTGTATTTTTCTTGAGTAATCTTCAAACTCCACAAAATTCTCGTCTCCCGCCAAGTTCAATTTCATGAACATATTTCCATTTGCTTCAACTTCAGCTTCTCCAATATCTACATCAATAACACCTCATATACCTCCTCTGGCACTTGTACCTACCACTATACAGCCTCTTACAAATTCTTCATTAACTTCTTCTGCTCCTTCTTCAACTTCTGCTACTTCTATACGCTCCAGTGATCCACTTCTCCAAATGTTTCCTCCAGCACCACCAATTCTTCAGCCACTGCTGCTGAATCCATAGCACCTGAACCCGAATTACAACATATTCCTGTTTCTTCTCCACCACTTTGCCATCCCATGGTGACTAGGTTTCGCACTGATTCATTAAAACTAAAGTAGATTTTTAATTTTCATCATCACACATCATATGTTTATGAACCTACTTGCTATTCATATACTGTTAAACATTCTCATTTGTGTGAGGCTATGTACCAAGAATTTCAAACTCTTCAATCGCAAGGTACTTGGTCTTTGATTCCTACAACTTTGGATCAACATGTTTTAGGATGTAAGTGGATCTACAAACCCAAATATCATTCTGATTGATCTATAGCTCATTACAAAGCTCATTTGGTTCCTCAAAGTTATACTCAAGAATTTGGTGTCGACTATACATAAATTCCTAATCTACTTGCCAAAATCCCAACTATTCGCATTTTTAGTACCAATGTTGTGCGCCGTTAGTGGTCAATCATAAAATTGGATATTTCTAATGCATTTTTACATGGTGACTTGATAGAAATAGTCTATACATAGCAGCCACAAGGATTCAAAGATCCTACCTATCTCAATTATATGTGTTGTTTAAATAAAGCCCTTTATAGGCTAAAACAGGTGCCTCGACAATGGTTTGCAAAATTAACTTTATTTTCAAACACTTTGGTTTAAGTACAGTGCAGTCGATCCTTCTTTACTCATTTATAACCATATTTCGAATTTTACATACCTACTGGTTTATGTTGACGATATTTTGGTGACGGGAAGCAATCGTTCCTTAATTACTACTTTACTTCTCAATCTCAAACAACATTTTCAGCTTCACAATTTTGGGTATTTGCCAAAAAATTTAGGCATTCAGGCTGTTTCTATACCTGCTGGTTTCCATTTGCATCAATCTAACTATGCTAAAGAGCTGCTCCGACGTGCTGGATTAGAAAATTGTCAGCCGGTTGTCACTCCATATCCTATAAAGATTTCTAGCAGATCATCTTCTGAGGTAGTGTTTGATAATCCAGAATTATATCTGCATCTTGTTGCATCAGTTCAGTATCTAACTATAACTCGTCCTAACATTTCCTATGTTGTTAACGAGTTATACCAATCCATGCATAAGCCTTACATAGTCATTTTTAGTCCTTTAAACACTTGCTTCGCGACATTCAAGGCACTTCAAAATTTGGTCTACCAATTATTCATGGTTATTTACAATTGAGAGCTTACTTTGACTCAGATTGGGCAGACGATCCTCTAGATCCGAAATCAACAATCGGTTATTGTGCCTTCCTTGGCAACATGCTTGCTTCTTTAAGTGTTAAGAAATAGTCTACATAGCTTGTTCTTCAACAGAAGATGAATATCGAGCTTTAGCTACTGCTTCTAATATTATGTGGCTATGACGTTTACTGAAAGAATTTTATTTTTCAATTTCTCACCAAACGTCTCTTTTGTGATAACATTTCAGCAATTACATTTGCTAATAATTCTATATTTCACGCAATGACCAAACATATTGAAGTTGATTACCATTTTATTAGAGATTGCATCAAGTTTCATGAAATTACTGTTCATTATATTACTTCCGAGGATCAGCTTACTGATTTGTTCACCAAAGTTCTTCCTAAGTCTCGGTTCTTTGCTCTTCGTGACAAGCTTAGGCCTCTTCGCCCATGAGCTTGAGGGGACCAGTTCACTGTATAAAAAATGCTCCACGTTCCCAACGTTTTGCTTCCACGTCTCCCTGCTTGATAACCAATTCTACAACTCTAATTATTTGGTTGGTTTTTCTCCTTGCTATATATGTTGTACTGTTCATATGGCTTAAAGAAGTAAGAAATTATTCCAGATTGTCTTTAGTTTTTCGTTTGCTCTGTTTTCCTACCTCTGTGATAAGCAGGTATCAATAACCTTTACTACAGCGCCAAAGAACTTTACACTATATTCCCATATCTTCCTTAGAATAACAAGAAAATAAAAAAAAAACCCTAAAAATTTAAAAATAAGAATCAAGCCATATAAAAAGTCTGTATGAACTCAACTGAAGCCAGCAAAATATATTTTTCATACAGAAGTAGTATTCTTTCAACGAGGTGACTTACCCAAGAATCAGGCAGCTGTCAGTGAAAAAAAAGAATGGTGCATCGTCTGTAAGAATTAAGTGCTTCAGAAATGGTATCGCGCCGATGAAAATTGCCAGTACCTATTTTCAAATGATTAAAGATGAAATAAAATATAAGAGATAGAAAGTGTGATACCACAGTAGAAGTTACTTTCAGAAAAATATTGATCAAGAAAAGTACATTCTGAACTCAACACAATAAGCTAATTAACTATTATCCAGCTAATTATACAGCAAAATGCAACAATCCTTTTATGACAGGATATCTACCAAATCCCTGCTCACAGTCATTAAAATGTAGTTACATCTTAATCAACTGAAGAATAACATCACTGAACGGCCACTTTTCACCAAATAAAAAAATAACATTGAGCGGCAAGGTTTGTTACACTTACCATGCCTCCGAGGTAATAATGAAGAGATTGACAGGTTTATGGAGGACTTTGTGAGGGCCTTCAAAGGCCTTTCATTTAAAATTGATTAAATCTTCGTCATTTTGTATGTGTAAGTAATATGGTAAACTGGTGCTGGAAGGACAAGCAGTCTAGTTACCTCCTAAAATATTGAATTTTGAAAAAAAAAATGCGATAGTTTAAAAGGAATTGTGTCATGGAGATCTTAGCAAGTGAGAGGCTTCTATCAAGTTGTATTTCATGGATTTACTGCTGCCTTATCTATGAGAAGTGGATATTTTAGTTAAAAGTAATACTACGATCCAAAGCCCAAAAATAGTTTTGATGAGTTGGCATGAGTGGAGCGAATGCAATACAAAGTTACATACAATATTAAGCCTTCATCCCACTACATGGGGTTACATGAATACTTTCTCTCTATTGTGTCATGTTAATAGCCAAATTCTCATTTAAATCTAATAAAGAAAGACCATTTCTAATATTTTCTAACCAAGTCTTCCTCTCTATACCTATCTTAATCTCTTTCTTCTTGCCAACACATCAAGACCTTCTTTGGGTTGTGGGTTGGGTACATGATTTTTTTCTTTAGTTATGTAGGCTGAGATAGTTTGAAATAATTTGATCCTACCTTAACACACTTCCTATTTGTTCTAGTGACATGCAATCTTCACTAGACAGGAAATGGGATCAAAATTATGGCTTTCTTCAAGCTCAAGCTCAGCTTGTGGATGGCAATGTTAAGTGACTAAAATGTTAGTATGTGTGGAATCTGATTGTATTGATCAATCGAATTATACTGTTTCCTTGGACCTCAGTTCAATTTGTCATGCTCCTTAGGAGGTGCGGAAGGGTTCTCCCCCTGCTTGGGTTGGGTGAGAAATTTTTTTTTTTTTCATACAATGCCCTGGAGTTGTGAACGTGAGCATTCCGGCACTGCAAAATTTGCTGGAAGAAACGACAAAGAATTTAGCGCCATAGCGCTATTAGGCGGACTGGAGGCAAAGCAATGAGCATCGCAGTACTTCGAGACAAACCCAACAGTTTTCTTTCTCGTTTTTCTCAAGGGTGGTGTCCCTTGGTGGTATATAGTGGTTTTTCTCTTTTGTTTCTTGTGTGAGCATAGTGTAAGAGAGAAGAGAAGTAAGGAGAGAGTGATAGAGAAGAGAGATATGTACTTATTTCTCCTAATTTATGATGCGGTGCATCATAGCTAAAGAGAACCTTAGGAATAGCTTATCTAAATTAGTACCTTTTTCTAGAGAGTTCTAGGTATTTCTATTATATTGTTATAAATAGCTGCTATAGGTAGAAGAAGGGCATGAATTAGTATTTTTGGAATTTCAAACAGTTTTCACTGTTTTTGGTCTCCAAGAGCTGTTTAGCTCTTCTTCTTCTTCTCCATCATGCTTCTTTGGTGATTCTCCCCACATCAGATGGTATCAGAGCGAGGTATGACCCTTGGCGTCGATCAGGGCCCTGGGCTGCTGCTACATCAACCCTTGACGTCGATTGGGGTTTTGGATGCTTTGGGAAGATCATGTATGAAGCTGGGATGTCGACGACGTTCAAAGCCTCCACCAGCCGGAAACCATACCGGCGAATCTACACATCCAGCTGGCAACCATACCAGCGATTCCATCGTCTGGCAACCATACCGTCGCAGATCTCCGCACACGATTCCCCCCGTCCGCGACCTTGGCCATGTTCCTCGCAATCGACTCGTCGTCGTGCGATTTGTGCCCTTGCTTGTCCAGTTCGTGTGAACGGCCATGCCCGCCGTCCATGCCGCTCGGACAGCAGGCATCTGCCATTCCCGCGCCCATCCACACCCACATAATCCATCCCGCTCGCGCTCGCTTCCACTGCACCATGCGATTTCCCCTCAGATCCACCCGCACAGTCTCTCAACCAGATCCTCGTTGTCTCCATCCCCAACGACCAGATCCATCCCGTCGGACAGCTTCTTGCGCGGTACAATCCTGTTCTGAAACCCGTGGATCCGCCTCCCGTTCCCATCTCACGCACGAGTCCGACCATTATCCACACTCTCGTGTTAGTCTTCCGCTTGTCCGACCCCATTTTCGATTTCTAACTCCGTTGATACCAAGATATCTGGCTCTATTCCTGCTTCGATTGCCGCCTCTCCAACCTGTAGACACTATCTATTACACAACGATGCTCTCAGAACCCACATCACGCGCGCTCCCACAAAACTCGCCATCGTTGTTTCTGTCTCCGTCTGCGCGGCGGCAATTCTATCCCTCTTTGCATACTTTCTCTACCGCCGGCGAGCTATAAATCAGCCGGAGTCGCGAAAGCTCATTGTCCATTCTTCCCGCTTCGCGGTTCCCGACCACCATGTCGTTGCCGCGGACTTCCTCTATCTTGGGACAATTGAACCCACCGTCCCCGACGAACAGCGATTAAGTGCCGAGTCGAACGGGTCTCCTTATCGTAAGCTCAGCTCGGAGATTGAACGGGTCGTGGAGATGCGACACCTGAGCCCAGAGCTTCAGCCACTTCCGCCGCTTCGCCAGCATCCTCCACCGTCGGTGATCGCGGCCTCTTCAGATGATGACACATATTATACGCCCAATCGCTCTGCAGCTTCGTGAAACAGTGAGAGTCCCGGGAGACCTAGATCTCACCGGAATCAATCTGCTTCCATCGCAGGTAAGGAGGTTCCTCGATCCCGGAGATCTTCTCCAAGGATGCAAATATCTGATTACTCGCCTTCTGATGTCAAACGGGAGATTTCTGCAGCTTCGAGAAACAGTGAGAGTCCCGAGAATGATGCTTGTTGCTATCCTAAGAAATGAAGTTGGATGGTTTGATGAGGAGGAGAACAATTCCAGCCTTATTGCTGCCCGTTTGACTACTGATGTTGCTGACGTGAATTCCGTCTGCAATTGCAGAGAGGATTTCTGTGATGCTTCATAACATTACTTCACTCCTCACGTCCTTCATCAGCATCCGAATCCGAATAATCGGAATACGCCGTAGGAATTCTCCTCGGCATTCTCTCAGCAGTCACCCGATCACGTTGCACTGGCGAAGCGTCTTCGCGTGCCATGCGCGGGATACCAGTGGGGTTTTACCGGGGACACCGCGAAGGCGCTTGCTAAGACGAGCATGATAGCTGGGGAAAGTGTGAGCAACTTTTGTACAATTACAACGTTCAACGCCCAAAGTAGGATATTGTCTCTTTTCCGGCAAGAACCTGTGACTGTTTGCAGGAACCATCTTTGACAACACAACATATGCAAAATACATCACAATTGAGGAAGAAGTTATAGATGCTGCACGGGCAGCAAATGTTCATGGTTTTGTTAGTGAGCTTCCGGATGGGTACATGACGCCTGTTGGTGAAAGAGGTGTGCAACTCTCTGGAGAATAGAAGCAGAGGATTGCAATGATAAGAGCAGTGCTGAAGGACCATCCCGACGGATAAGCAACAAAGAATTAACTCTAAGTTCCATCCGACTAAGTCAGATTTTTCATATGCAGGGGGAGTATGATGCGATGCATCATAGCTAAAGAGAACCTTAGGAATAACTTATCTAATTTAGTACCTTTTTCTAGAGAGTTCTAGGCATTTCTATTATATTGTTATAAATAGCTGCTATAGGTAGAAGAAGGGCATGAATTAGTATTTTTGGAATTTCAAACAGTTTTCACTGTTTTTGGTCTCCAAGAGCTGTTTAGCTCTTCTTCTTCTTCTCCATCATGCTTCTTTGATGATTCTCCCCACATCAATTTACATAGTGGATTTCTTGATGTGGTGTGACTCCGTAGTTTTTTCCCGGTTTAGAGTTTTTACATGTTAATCCTGATGTCGTTTACTTTCCGTTGCATTCTATTTTTTCTTGTTTGTTTCATTCCGTGGTTTACTTCTCTATCCCCAGCATAAAATCTACACATCATGAGCTAGAATAATCTATTTAAAGTACTATAGAAGGTTTAGCTTCACTGCGAAAACAACCAATATCATGCCTCACAACACTATTCTAAGTGCATGCATATCTCCCCAATCCAGAGAATTCAATCAAATGTATCAAAATGATTATTTAAAGGCGTCAATAATGAAATGTTCAAAATCCAAATGTTTATTACTTACAGAGGCAATGATTGGTGGTTGAAAAATCTGTTTAATCTTTAGTTTTTCAGCAAGATAACTTAGCTGGAAAATTATCTGCACAAGGAAGATATAAGAGCTTAATCATATAGAACTTTCATAGGAAACAAAGCTCAATGTTAAATATTCTTAGAATATGGCATTTAAATAAAGGAAGTTATGATTTGATCATCATGGTTAAAGCAAAATACAAGCTACACGATTATAAGAAGAAACTGTACTCAGAAAGATTAGAATATTCATTGCTTATGGTCTAACTTGAGGCTAACTTAACAGAGCACTATAGTGATATTAACTATTATTTAAAGAAAAAAAAAAGAAAAAGAAAAGAAAAAAATAGAAAAAAAGGAAAAAAAAACTATTATTTAACACTGCCATGTCATAATTGCACTAGTCAAAATCATCATTCATCCCTTCTTTACTAAAATGCACTAGAAAATGGGAAAGTTTCAAAACTACTCTGTATGAACAACTTTTATGTAGAAGAAAAAATTCTAAATGGTAAACTTTAAAACCTATCAAAAAGCCGGGATATTTGGAACTGTTGCTATCGTTGCACTGTGGCACATATAAGTATGTAATTCTAAACCAATCTAATGTTTTGAACATGTTGCTTGAAATGTTCGAGCATCAAATGCCAATCTTAAATCAACTGAGTGCCTATATATACAACCAGATAAACTATCTACGTTTGCTGATTCACATACAATTAAAATGAATTGTCTTTTCTCTTACGAACTAAATGCACAAAAATGATTCAGAAGACACTAGAAGCTTAAAAGCTGACTATCAATGTTTGGCTGCAGATCCTCTGGTCACAACTATTATCTCAGCTACATTGTAGCAACCAAGAAATTTCACTTACCTTTCTTCTTTTCGAAGCCTGTGTGCTTGTTTCTTCAGGCTCATAAGAAGAAAGCAGGGGTACTTGCTCTGCTACAGCAGTATTAGTCCGGCTCTTACTTGGGAGCTCTTCTTCTTCATTGACATCAAATGAACCACCGGGAGGCGGGGAAAGCATTTGAAACACATAGGTGTACAGTATAATTGCGCCAACCTGACACGCAATTACAGTTCTGAGTTTACCACTATAAATATTTAAAGGTTAAAGGTTATAGAGATAATAGTGAACAAAATTAAAGAATAAGTACAATCATGATATAAAAGCCTAAACTTGATCTACAAAAATAACAATAATAATAACAATAAATAATAAATAAAATGAAACAATGCAGAACACGTCTTTAAAAGTACAATAAATTAAAACCTGATCTTAAAAAAAAAATGTTTGAAGTTTGGATCAAGATGTACAGGACAACCACAGTCCAAGATTAGGGAGCAACCAAAATATTTTCACGTATTCAAAGTTCCACACTGTAAACGTACAAGTAAAAGCAGCTTCAGGTAGACAAGAATTGCAGCTACAGATCTGGATTACAATTGCTTAAATATAAAAATAATTGAGTGATAGAAGAAAAAGATGGAGCAAAGCATTGATGGAACCTACAATTTGAAGCAATATATGAATGAGGATAGAAAACATATAAGACTCGTTTTATACTTTCCAGTTTTGTTAAACAATATGCATATCAAGTTATTCCTAAAGGATATGCATGTAAACGGAATTCTTTAATCAAACAATTAATAAGGTTTGGTTCGACAATTAAATGTAATAAATATTGTAATGTGGGCATGACGTTGAAAACTAAAAATATACAATTACTCTGTTACGCCCACGCCTTGGGGTGCAGGAGACAACCGCCCGGCTGTTGACAACAAAGCGACTCAGGCAACTTTCCACACCACCACTACTTAGAATAGTTTCCCTGCCTTTGTTCAGAAATATAGCTGCCATGACAGACACGAAATTAAATCTGAACCATCCGCTACTAACTTCCTCTCCATCTACCGTTGATGCTAGAGAAAGCTGATGTTGGCTAAGTTTATATATTACAGTTTGTGTGTCTATGTGCTTGTAGAAAACTTTTAATATACAAAAGGTGCTTGCCTTTATTCCTCTTCTTCTTGCTTTATCTTTACTTGCGGCCCTTCTCTGTATTTTTTGCACGACAACTTGGTAACAGAGCTACAGTCGAACAACACTTCTCTGATCAAGCTCAGTGATGTCTCAATTCCCTCCCAACTAAAGTTTTTGACGAGCAATATCAAAAAAATTGTTCACACTCAGCTTCTAAGTGATAACTATCCCACTTGGAGGTCTCAAATCTCCAAAATATTTATTGCAAATGGTTATGATGAGTACTTAGATGGTACCATTGTTCATCCTCCGCGTTAAGTTCTCTACAACACCGGAAAACCTTCTTTGAATCCCCAGTTTACCCTATGGTTACTCATTGATCAAAACCTTACAATAGACATTTTCTCCATCATATCACCATTCATTCTTCCCTATGTTTTGAACCTAGATTCTATTTGGCTGACTCTTGAGAAATGGCTTCAAGCTAAAAATAAATCTCGTGTGATTCAACTCAAAAATGAACTCCACCAGATTTCTATGATAGATCAGTCCATGACAGAGTATCTTTCGATTTTCAAACTCATTGTTGACAATATTGCTACAGCAGGTTGTTCGATGGACATTGAAGACATTATCCTGTATGTCTTCAACGGACTCCCTTCCACCTATCAGGCTTTCAAAACTGCTATCAGAATTAAACATACACCCATAAGTTTAGATGATCTGTATTCACTGCTATGCAGTGAGGAAGTTAACTTAGCTAATGAAGTTGTCTATGACTTAATCATTCCGAATAAAACAGCTACGTCAGATTTTCAGCTTGCCCTCTTTTCATACCGTGGACGTGGTCGCAGTCGCTTCTCTTCTCGTGACCGAGGTCGTTCAATTTTTTCACCATATGGTAGAAGTTTTGCTCACCACAATGTCATTACCAAGGGTGGCAAACTTCGGAACTATGCAGCCGAGTGTCAAATTTGCGTAAAAAAATGGACATAGTGTCTTCAGCTGCTGGCACCGATCTAATATGAATTTTATTCCATCTTCTTCCTCGTCTCCACAAGCTTTTCTCTCTTCCGCACCAACTACCCCCACCGACTAGTTTTTCGATAGTGATTCACATCTCCAAAGACACTTCTACCAATATCTTACTCTACAAAATCTCCACCACACAATTCCACTACTCCAAAAACTAATAATATTCCAAATTCCTCCACTACCCAATCAGCATCCGATTCTTCATCCCCTTCTACTTGTAGTATTCCACCTTTTCCACTACTCAATTCATCTCATACTTCCAGCTCTTCTGAAAATGCCACACCTCACCACCCCATGAACACGTTCCCAAACCGGTTCACTTCGTCCTCACCAAATTCTCAATCTTTCTCATTCCCATATCCTTCTCCACACTTCAACTTGCTACTCTTTTTCTGTGAGATCTCCTAAATGGTGAAAGGCTATGTCCTCAAAATTTCATGCTCTTCAAGCACAAGGTACTTGGGATCTTATTCCACCTACACTAGCTCAAAATATAGTTGGTTGCAAATGGGATTTCAAGTTGAAACAGAACTATGATGGATCTATTGCTAGATACGAAGCTCGGCTTGTTGCCCCAAGGCTTTAAACAATAATTTGGATATGACTATTTTGACACCTTTAGTCATGTTGCCAAGCTTCCAACAATTCGATTGTTTCTAACAGTTGCTTTACAATTTAATTGGTGAATTTTATAGTTAGACATAGCAAATGCTTTTCTTCATGGCAAATTGAATGAAACAATGTTCATGGTTCAACCTCTGGCTTCCAAGATTCTCAACATCCTAACTATGTCTTCCATGTGAAAGTGCTAGGAGTTAGCGAGAAATCAAGAAGAGCAATTGTCTAAAGCTTTTCCAATATAAAATTAACGTTCACACAAAGAAAGGTTTTATAAATTCGGAGTTTTTAACTTACTTAGGCAAAGAAGTACACGTTATATTAACCAAGACAATTTAATCAAGCTTCAAAGTAAAGAGTGCGTTTTTATGAGCACAATAACAATAATCCACAATTTAATAATGAGAGGTTTCACATTGAGGACCTCCTCACTCGATCACTCGTTGGGTTAGCGGAATATGATACTCCACACTAGAGAATAGATCGCCACTAGGAAGAAGCCCAAGAACTTCATTGATGGAGAGGCGGCCGACGACAGATGGATTTGTGGGCGCCCCACAATTGTCCACGATCTGATGGGGAAGTGTTCCTCAATTGACGGTGCCAACGTGAAGATGATGCAGTCAATGTAGTCTTTCACGAAATCGTTGACATCCAAATTTAAATCGAAGAATGGAGATCGGAGAATATCGGTTCGGCCCAAAGAATCCTCCACGAACTCATTATCAACATCCGGGTCGGTCATGCATGATTGTCTAAGAGACAAGATAGAGAGTGAGAGGAGGAGGGGGTCGGGTAAGTTAGGCCAACCAAAGGGGAAAAAGGGAAAAGGTTAAATCTGAAAGTAATTTCAAATTTATGGAGTAATTAGAGATTAATGTCTTTGAAATTTGAATATGAAACAAGTGGGAATTATGAGGGAAAGTGGGGAGGGTGATTGAATTAATTATATTCTTAATTTATGGGGTCTAATTAATTAAAAGGGGAATGTTGGAGTGGGCGGCCAAGGAGAGATGGAGGGAGGGATTTGGGTATTAATGAGGTGGTCCCACGCAATTAAGAGGATTGATAGTGTAAATTAGAAATTGATTTCAGATTTAAATTATTTGGGAATGTTTCCTACATTAGAGGAGGGCCATTTAAGAGGAAATTTGAATTTGAATTTAAATCAGCTCCTAAATTAATGGGACCAAAATAGGAAAGGTTTTATGGTTGATTTGAATTTAGATTTAGAGGGGGGGGACGCATGGGGGGGTTCCGTGGCTGTGGTAGGGAAGAGAGTCAGTGGGTGGGGGTGAACCATGAGGTCCACCGGTCGGGTGGGGCTGTGATTGGGGGACGGCAGACGGTGGGAGGGGAAAGGAGGTGGGGTTGGCTATGGAAGCATAAGGGGGAAAGGAATATGAAGACTAACCACAAATCCCAGCTCCTACCAGCGGCTGGTGGGTGATGCTATGCCCTCTTCTAGGGTCTCTCCTCTCAAGAACGCACAAAGAGATCAAGAACCAAAAACTGAATTTTCATTTCATAATCATCGTCCTTTTACAATGGAAGATACCACAATATATAGGCCTGGAAAATAAAATAACAATGACTCAAATGCCCCTTGGGCTACAACTCAAGCAAACTCAAAAGAAATGGTACAATCGTAAATAGCAAATAAATAAACTACAATACATAAATGCATCAAAAATATACATAAATGCATCAAAAATAAAGACTATGAATCGTAGCCATCAATCTTTGATTCATACGCTGATAAACTCATTAATAACGTCTGTCAATGTCCTCATCAGTCTTCCAACTTAAGAAGGTCATCTATGGTCTTAAGCAAGCTCCTCGCCAATGATATGCTACCCTCTCTCAATATCTATTTCAACTTGGTTTCCAATGCAGCTCGGCCAATCCATCGCTGATGCTCTACAGTCGTCGACATACACATATTTACTTCCTCATTTATGTCGATGGTATCTTAATTACTGGTAATAACCAATCTATGATTTCTAATTTGCTGAGCACTCTCAAAAGAAGTTTCAATCTGAAATCTAGGTACAATTTCTAAATTTATAGGCATAGAAGTTTAGTCTACAGCAGCTGGTCTTCATCTACATCAGCCCTCTTATATATTGGACAATCTCGATAAAGCTGGCATGCGAGATTGTAAACATGTTTCCAATCCTCTAAAAACTAAGGATTCTCACACTGCTGATTCAGAACAGCCATTTTCGGATCCTAGCCACTTCCTTCATCTTGTCGGGTCACTTCTATACATCACTATTACTCGTCCCAGCATTTCTTTTGCCATCAATAAAGCATGCCAATCCATGCATATATGCCTATAAATGCACACTTTATGCTACTCAAATGCATTTTGAGGTATCTAAAAGGTATAATCTCTCATGATTTGCTTCTTCAAAAAAGAGATTTAACTCTTACTTCTTACTCTGATTATGATTGGGCTGGTGATCAGTCTGACTGAAAGTCTACCAAAGGCTATTGCATTTTCCTTGGTACTAATTTCTTGGTGCGTAAAGAAACAAAGAACAGTTGCTCGTTCTTCTACGGAAGCCGAGTATAGAGCTTTGGCAACTGCTACAACAGATCTTATTTGGCTCTATCGCCTTTGCCAAGAATTTAGCATTCTATTTCAAACTACGTCACTCTTTTGTGACAATGTTTCAATAATGTCAATTGCTTCCAATCCTATATTTCACTCTAGAACTAAAGTCATTGAAACATATCATCATTTAGGGGTGTCAATTATTGACACGACCCGATAACCCGACCCGGAAAATCCGGGTTCGGGTCAACCCATTTAACAAACGGGTCGGGTTCGGGTTAAAGTTTTTGACCCGTTTGCAAAACGGGTCGGGTTCGGGTCAATATGCTAACCCGAATTCGACCCGAACTGTGAAAAGGTTTCATCGTCTTTTGCAGCTTTGCGAATGTCCATTCCAATGCATTGGCAGTTTGGCTATGTGAGAGAAAGGAACGAAAGAAAGGGTTGTGCGAGAGAGAGGAACGGAACTGCACTGAACGGCCGTGTCCAAAAGAAGCAGGAGAGGCTGAGAGGGAACAAACTCTATACTCAACAGTATAGTTGGACATAAAATGCAAAAGAGTTCAACAAATGTATATAACATCAACAATCAAAAAACAAAAATCCAGCAGGCAGTTGACAAAATAACAATATCGAGAAGGAGAGCTTAACTCGAGGCAAGGCTGCAGACCAGCCTCGAGAGCGCGGCGAAGGAAGTCAGCCATCTCGGTGAGGAAGGATGAGTTCTTCCTAATGTTTCGAGTGAGTTTAAGCCTCAAGGAGCTTCTATGCAGTAAGGTATGAGGTGTGAGAAGATGCGCTCTCTATTTTCACTCGAGGAGGTTCCGCGCTTGCCCTCGAGTTCTCCCATTCTGATTGTTCGTTACGCAAAGAAGATAGCAAAAGCTAAACCAGATATAAACGGGAGTAAAAAGAATGAAACGGCGAGGCCACAGTCGCTAGCAAAGCAACAGCCAAACTATCCGTCGTGCGAAGCGAGAGTGGCTAGAGAGAGACCAATGAAATTGAACATGGTCTCCAACCGACATGGCGGCGGAAAATCGCTGTTGAATAAGCCACCAAAACTCATTTTTGAACCTTCTTCCCTTCACAAAATCACAGCTTTCTTTTTGGGTTCGCATTTTGCAAACGGATCATGGGTCGGGTCGGGTCAACCCGGTAACCCACGCGGGTTGGGTCCAAGTTAGAAATCCTGACACGTTTGTAAAACCGGGGGTTTGAGTTGAGCCGTTTAGACCCGGGTCAACTTAGGTTCGACCCAAACCCGACCCGTCGATCCGTTTTGACACCCCTATCATCATTTTATACGGGAGTGCATTACCAACAAACTTGTTGTTGTTCATCATATCTCCACAAAAGACCATCCTGTTGACATATTTACAAAAGCCTTGCCTACTCCTCAATTTCTGCTTCTCCATGACAAGCTGACCATCGTTCATCTTCCCATCACCTTGAGGGGCGATGACAACAAAGCAGCTCCAGCAACTTTCCACATAGCCACTACTTAGAATAATTTCCCTGCCTATATTCAGAAAATATAGATGCTATGGCAGCCACTTTCCCCTGCAATTAAATCTGAATAATCTGCTACTAACTTCCTCTCCATCTACCGTTGATACTAGGGAAAGCTGATGTTAGCTAAGTATATATATTACTGTTTGCGTGTCTATGCAGCTGTAGAAAACTTTTAATATACAAAAGATTCTTGCCTTTATTCCTCTTCTTCTTTCTCTGTCTTTACTTCCAGCTCTTCTGTGTATTTTTGCATGTCAACAACTGTGACCAACCGAACCTAGCAGAACAGCTGGGCGGGAACCAGAGCAACAGAGATGGAGTTTCGAACCCTCTTGTGGGACCCAGGGAGTTAATATTTACTATGCAAGGAGGAAGAATCAAGGGGGGAAGTTATTTAGGAAAGTTTTAATAAAAATTGTGTGGAATTATTTATGGAAAGAGATCTAAATTGAGTTCAAATTTGTGAGGGAATTATTTAGGAAAATGTGGCTGATCTGGGAGAGAATTAGGGGAGTCTATTTAGGACTAACTATGTTGTTATTTTGATTTATGCAATTTGTTTTCTACTGAAGTTTTCTTTGAGAATTTTGTAGTGATGCCTAGGATTTGTGGGAGAGTCAATCTACCTCTTAAATAGTAGATCAATTGTATCTTTCTTTCTTTTTGAAGAGATAATCACAAAATCAGTCCATACCTTCGTATTTCTGAGGTTTCTACTTGTTTGTTGTTTTTTATTTCCAAGAATCATCATGCTCATCCAACATGAAACTTGTAGTGCATTAAAACTGATTCAAGTTTAACAATATAGGTTAGACTGCCTACACGCAAATGTGAGTTATATTTTAATTTCTTAAAAAAAACAAAAAATAGTAATTGTTTTATCTAGAGACCTACAGATTTAAACGCTCTGACTGATTCTATAAGAAATTTGGACAAACAAGTAGCACATTACTTCGACAATCTGGAAACATAAAAAGATTTATTTGTGTGCTGCATCCATCGTTGTTAAAACCTCAGGCAGATCATTTTCCTCTTTAAAAGGGCAAGTGGTCAAACATTGCCGATCTAAAAATATTAGAGAAACAGATTATATCTTAAGTTACTTTATGGGTGCCCACGGATTACCCTAGACTTTTCTGAAGTTGACTATCTATATCATTATGTGAAACTACTTGACTAGGTTAATGCAATGCATTGTTGTAAGTACGAAAGAAGTGACAGACATTCTCAACTAGGACAATCTACTCTTAAATTGCCTTCTCTATCTTTGTGATTTTGTAGAGGGTGTCGATGCACAGGATAAGAATCTTCATTGAGTGTTTTAACTTTTCTACATGAAGCATAACAGTGAAATGGGTTGTTTTTGGAATACTGTGTAGAAACAATACACTTTCCTTTTAATCCATTAAAAAAAGCTTATTATCTCTACTCGATTCAAAGAAAAAGAGCTTTAATGCTTCTCCCTGGCCTAAAAACACATATTCCATAGTACAAAATTAGCTAGTATTGTAGAACAACTAAGAAAATCACAATCTACCGGAAAACTCTTTATTAATCAATTAGTTACTGAAGCATATGGCAATAGATAAACAAGGTGGTGAAAACCTAAATAGCCACATCTCTGATGGAACAAGAATGAGCAGCAGAACCTACCCACTGACCAAATGAGATATAAGCATTGCCATCCTGGTTACATTTCTCTGAATCACCAAATGGATTTGATTTGTCTCGGCACAAAGCTGCAATTAAGACAAGCGGAACATTTCCAATGTTCCCTGCACACAAAAATAATCAAGCCCGATGCTAATCAGCAGTTGCATGTGGTATCAAGTGACAACTACATATAATTCAGAGCTATATGCAAGGGACGTGCTCGTTTTAAAAAAGAATCACCATGCTTATCATAAATGAAAATTGTACTCTTGTTAATTCAGCTAATTTGAAAAACATCAAATTTCTTTTGCGATCCAAATTTAATTGAGGAACTTAACACAGCTATGCAGAGGGTGCAAAAATTAGAATAATAAAGTGCTTGAGGGAGGGAGAGAGGGAAAGTGCTTGGAAGGAACAAAGGAGAGAGAGAGAGAGAGAGAGAGAGAGAGAGAGAGAATGTTATATAAGCTAATGCATGAATTGAGATTTCCTTATTTTAGGATTTATTCCATCAGAACCACATCCATCACCTCAATGTTGACCTCATTTTTGTATGAGATCACTAAGGCCCTTCCATACTCCAAATCAATTCAGACCCTAGGATCTACTCTAAACCCTAGGATTCTTTCAGATCAACCTAAACTCTAGGATTCTCCTAGATCTAGACCCTAGGATCTACTCCAGACTATAGGATCTACTCTAGACCCTAGGATTCTTCCAGACCCCAGACCCTAGGATTTTCTTAGACCCTAAGATCCTTCTAGATTCCAAACTTTAAAATCTATCCAGATCCTAGAACCCTTATAGATTCTAGATCTTAGAATCCCTCCAGACTCTAGGAACAATCTAGATTCAAATCAATCCAGATCTCTGATCAATTCAAATCATAAACCAATCTAGACTTCAATCAATTCAATTTTCAAATCAAATCTAGACTTCAAACCTATCAAGACTTTAAACCTATCCTGATCCCAAATCAAGTTCAAACCTTGATTGTACTTCTATCAAACTTTAATCATATCATATCATTCATAATCCTCTCTAATGGTTATAGATGATATAGATAATTCAACTCCACTCATTCAAACTCAAAGTCCAATTCAAACCCAGAAATCCAGACCAAAATCCTAAGTCCAAAGGTCTTGTCCTAAAAGCCTTTTCCAAGGATTTTTCAAATACTTTAAAACCCAGTCAAACTACCTCTGATTCAGAGTCTATCAATTTCATATTGATATGACATGTCTCTAGAGTCAACCCTCCAAATTTGAGCCCATTCTGGGTCTCTAACCCTAGAAACTTAATCGAAATCTAAAGGCTGTAAAACCTTCAAATATTTACAGCCTATGCCACTGGACCTTCCACCTAGTGGAACTTGACCTTGGAGCCCCCTCCAAACCCTTTGATCACTCCCAATACCTTAATATTGACCTGTTAAGCAATAGTCTACATCTTTCCATATTCAATTTGGCCCAGAACTGACTCAAAACCAAAATGACCAAAATGCCCTCCAAGGGGATTTTTGGACTTTTGGCCTAGACTTAATTTGATTTGACGATCAATCTTTGAAATCTTCCTCAAGTGTTTTCAAATAATGTTTGAGACCTTTTAAATCCAATTCCAACCTTGGGTCAACTTGATTGACCAAATCAACCCATTTTGACCTTAAGGCCCCTTAAGGATCAAAATGGTCATTTTGACCAAAAGGACCTCATTTTGCCTTGGAATCCCTTCCAACACACTCAAAACGTCATCCCAAACTTGTTGACCCTAGTGACTGCCCTTGGGTCAACCTGGTTGACCAAGTCAACCTAGGTTGACCTAATAACCCATTAAGGGCCCTTAATAGGCCTTTTGACTCAAATGACCCCTCCACACCTTGATGCCTCATTCATTAGGCTTATATGACCAAATTGATTTCAATGGACCTATCTCCTAGTCCTAGGTCAACTTGGTTGACCAAGTCAACCAAGTTGACCAAATGACTTATACACATCCTTCCACCTAAACTATTTGATCAAGACCATTTTAATCCCACTTGAATCCAAGGGGTGATTCCTTGGGCTCCCAAGAGACTTCTCTTGGAGACCCAAGCCTTGGGCCCACTTGGATTAGCCTTTTGGCTTGACCCAAGTGCCCAAAGAGAGGCCCCTTTGAACCATTTCTCAACCTTTATCAAATTAAATCCAAATCAAGGTGTCATTGGGTTCCCTCTGATCAAATACACCTCCCTTAACCAGCCCAACCTCTGGATCTACTTGGGTCAAGAATTAGGCTAACCCAAAGTGGCTAAAATCACTTGGGATTGAGCCAATTCCTGTCATAAGTCCAATTGAACTTGACCAACACCTCCCTTAGGTGGCCCTAGGTCCAATACACCTCCTCCAGCCGGCCCATGCCTTGGGTTGACATGGGTCAAACTTTGGGTTAGCTCAAAGTAGTCAAAACCATATGGACCCGAGCCATCTTTGAACTCAGTCAAATTGAACCCAATTGCCACTTGCATTGGGCAAACCAGACCTAGACCCATCTCCCACATCGAGCCCAGGGTCTGGCCTAACCTAGGTTGAGCCCAATTCGACCCAAACCGAGCAGGTTTGGGTCAAACCAAGCCACCCGATCAAATCAGACCTCCCCAGGCCCAATTGAGCTCATTCTTGAGTTCACCATATCCCTATCCTCCTTTCCAGGTCAACCCAACCCAGACGCCAGCCGGCGGCGGCCGGAACCAATGGAGAACAAGCTCCGGTGGTCCCCCCCAGTCGATCCTAACCCAAAGCCTTCCAAAGATTGTGGCTCGCCGGCTTGAAGCTCACGAGCCCTCTAAGGCGATGTCCCCTTCCACCTGGCGCCCATCCGAGGCCCCTCCCAATCAATCCCAGTCGTCCAAAAGCTCGCAGGAGGTGGCTGAATAGGGCAACTCGTCCCAGAAACCCCATTCGATCCTAAGCATTCGAAATCACTCCCCAGAGCTCTCTCGTCCTTCCAGTACCATTCCCCAGCCTCCCAGGCCGTCCCGTCGATCCGTTCGAGCGAGCTCCGGCGAAAGCTTTCGGCACCGCGCTTGAAGTCGTACCTCCGGCCATCCTCCAATCCCGACGTCTGAAGGATATCTGCTCGCATTCATCCCCTGAAGCTTCCTGATAGAGCTCATTCGTTGAGACCTTCTCTGCGGTAATATTTCGATCCCGAGCTCCCTAGCTAGGTAGTCCGGTCAAGTTTGAAGGAAACCTTCACCCCAGCGGATCTCCACCGTTGGATTGAAGGTTCCTCCTCCCCTGATCCTCTCTGAGAAATTTCGTCGAAGTTCGCCGGCGGGATCGCTCGGATCACGCCGGAGAAGCCTTACGGTCTCGAGTTCGCGCGAGAGGTTGAAGATAAAATCCTGACCTGATTAGATCCAGTGGTCTCGGAGGCCGTTTGATCGTAGCCGTCCGATCGTCCATCTGACGGCAACGGTTAATCCGGCCGGTATCCAGTCAGCCGCCGATGATTGCCCCGCCAATCACGACACGCCGCGTGTAAGCGCCGGCTGACTGGGTAATTGGGGGATTTAATTTAACAGAAAAATCAAGGGATCTTCAAAAATTGATATCTCCCTACACACTTGATCCAATTATGTGTTCTTAGGCTCATTGGAAAGGTCTCAGGGAGACCTACAAAAGCCATCTGGTTCTAGGTTCTGATTGCATCTGTATTGAATTTAACTTCAGTAATAGTGTTTTGTCAATTATTGCATTTATTGTTTAAAATAAATTCCTCAGGGCCTGGAATTTTGGGAGAATGGATTTGGGCATGTCCCTGACATGCCCAAATTTTATCTCCCCTGTTTGAAGTGTTTAAGGGCATTAATATTCCAATTTTGATTCAAGGCCTCAAGGGTCATGGGTTGACCCTTAAATCTAAATTGAAATTATGACCTATCCAATGAGATTTAGGATATGGTTTTAAGTGTGCTGATGATGTGAAGCATATGGGGTTTAGGGCCAGTGATTTTACCTCAATCCAACCTTAGGATAGCTCCATAGAATTTTCTTAAGGTGACTTAGAGATCACCTTAGGTGGCTTGGTTAGCCACCTTAGAGAACTCCATTTAGGCCTAAATTTGGTGTGTTTAGGCCTTGGGATCAAGTGATCCCATAGTCCAAATTTCACCAGATTTGGTGTCCATTTGGTTCACTAAATAGGAGCCATAACATTCCCTCCTTAGAATTACCCTAAACCCTAATTAATTCACTAAAAATTCTTATTAAGCCCTAAAAATTTCATAAAATACCTATAACTGACCCTAAGTAGCCCCTTAATCAATAGAAATTTAAATACCTTTAATTTGACATTAAAATATATTTTAATTTAATTTTAATCAAAATCAATTTTAATTAATTAAAAAAATTTAAACACTTGTTGATCTCCCCTTAAATCATCTCTGATCTTTGGGGTTGATTTCAAGAAGTTTATGATTCATTTGGGTTCAAACCACTAAAAAGGTTTCTTAATTAAGGTAATTAGAAAATTCAATAAAATACTCAAACTTCTAAAATTCATTATTAATTGTAGAAAATTCCTAATCAATCAAACTCAGTGGCTAATAACTAATTAAAATCTAGTATTTTTCAAAAATATCAAATCTCCAAAATCTGGTCAAACTCAAAAAGTCAACATTTTGGTCAACTTTAGGTCAAGACTAGGTCAAAACTTCAATAAATCATAACTTTTGATAGAAAACTCTAAATTGAGTGTGCCACCTGTCTAACAACTCATAATAATGTCTAATATTTGTTAAAAATTTGAAACTTTTAAGTTTTCCTCTAATTCTAAAAGTTAAATTTTGACTCTTTAGTTGACATATATAGATAATCTCTTAAAACCCATTAATTCTTTTAAAATTCCAGAGTTTTCTAATTTGATTAATAAAACTCTCAACCAATCTTCTAAAATCAGTAATCAACTCTCCTTAATATTAATTCACTTATCTTAATTCCAACCAATTTAAATTAACTTAATCAACCCTGATTACTACTAGGTAACCCAGGCCTACGAGGTTATTAGCTTAGCCTCAAGGAAAGTGAAATAAACTTCACGACCTCGGTGTGAAACACAGATAGTAATCAATTAACCTCTAAAATATATTTAAATAAAATTCTTAATATATTAATATTTAAATTCTAACATAAATTTCCCTTATGCCTCAACAAACTCAAATTTTTAGATAACTCTAACTAATCACTCAATCTAGAATCTACCCCAGCCACACGACCTTTCACACACACCTTAGATGATTTGCTAGGACAACCAACTCTAGATCTAGATTAGGCCGATGTTTACTTTACTGCTGTGTGCCAGATTTTTCATGATTTTACTGCATGTTGTAGATGAAATTATCTTGCTGTGTCTGCTTACTTTTTACTGCACTCTGTGGATGATTGATGTGTTTGGCGACTACATTATCCTTAGGATAGGAGCGATCTGGATGTTCACAAAATTCTCTAAGGGTGACCACGCTCGTACAGGGCAATAAAAAGGGGCTAAACCAATAAAAAAATCAATTATAATTATGCTTGCACAGGTGCTTCAGCTGCTAAAGCCCCCAAAGTAATAAAAAGAGCGTGGCCAGTGTGTTTACTTCCTTTTTTGCACATTCATATATAACTGCTTGGGAATAAATATTTTTTTGATTTATTAACTGCTTAGGATAACCCTACAGGAGAATCTAGAATTTTTTATTTTCTTATAAATGTAATTTATGCAAATGTAAAGTGTTGTGAAAGTGGAGTTTTGAATTGATTTACATAGATCCAAAGCTTGGACTCCAAAGAGAAAAGGACACTCCTTAGGGGAGTAGCCATTTTCTATTTAGAGATCCAAATTTGGATCACTTCTTCCCTACCCAAAGAAGAAAGAGTGGCCTTCCTCTCAAAGGAAGTGGCCTCTTATCCATTTGGGTGGCCTACTACGAATAATCCAAGGAGCCTGAAGAAAAGGAGCCCGAAGGAGAAAAAGATTGAAGAATTGAAGACAAAAAGTATCTCATTCAAAACCACTTGCATCTCTACTAGGTTTAGAATCCGGGTTGTTGTCAGTGGTGCCTGGCCACTTTATTTTCTGTAAATTCTGGTTTGTAATAAGCAAGGCAACTTTGCCTATAGACATTTATTAATTAATTCATTTACATTTGGTTTGTTGAGATGATTGCGTATAGAATTGTCTGCTTTTCTTAATTTTTTGGCGTTTGTGTGCCGCTTTTATTTTCACCTGGACTCGTGAGGGTGTGAAAATTTTATACTCATAATTATAAAGTTTAAAATTTTAGTGAGTCTAAATAACATAGAAAGATAACGAATTTAGAAAATTAGCCGGGGATCGACCCCGGGGTCGCATGCATATTTCTGCACTACTTCTTTCCTTGCTTTAGACCCTTCCCCGCCTGCGGGTAGAGTCCGGATAGTCTGACCTATGAGAACGAGGTGCCGGACCTGGGGAAGTCCAGTCTTCTAAAAAATTATTTTCTAAGCTTGTTTTTAACTTTCAAGCAGACTTGATTTGAGGTTGTTAACTAGCATGCATTGCATTAGAAATAAATTAAAAGAGTAAAAATTTTAATTGCATTTGTACTTAGCATTTTGCATCCAACATAAGTCAAAGAGGTGAATTAGGGAAATCTCTATATGTCGGCTCCAACTATTCAAAACCATTAAATGAAACGTCCATACCACTCTTTCATAAAAAGATCGGACTCATGTATTTTAAATCGATTAGGTGGTTAGCTGACTCCCCAATCCAGGTCGGGCTAAGTCCAGACCTTGCACTCATTAGTTATGTTCGGACGACTGTGGTCCAGTGTCTAAATTCAGATCTAGGATCTGGGGCAGATCTTTGATTATAAGACCCCAAACTTCGAGAATATAATCCTAAATTTCTAATAAAATGCTCAACTCTAATTAGATATCATTTCAATCCAAAACATAAAGCCCAACACTTAGATTAAGTTGGGACACTTCCGGATGGTTCTGGAATCTCAAAGTGTCTCCTACTTTTCTTCCCTTGATTTTGATAATAACTGCTCAATTTTGACCAATTCCCTTTTGAATTTCCAAAATTCACCTCTTTTTTATATCACTCGTTAACGAAATTTTTTCACTATTTTTTAATCAAAATTTTTCGTAGGGGACTCTGTCTCCCTACGATGTAATTAACTACGAGAACTTGCGCTCGTAGGAGATTTAGAACCACACACGCACCTGATTTTAAAAATTGATTGTTCAAAATTTATATTTGATTCCTTTTGGAAATATAAAAAAAATGATCGTTATTATCACATTCAAAGAATTATCATTGAATGGTGTTGTCTCCCTTTGAGGAGATTCATCTTTCTTTGATAAGGCTTCGGATGTGAACTTAATGATCACACTTCTTAAATATTATAGCTGGATATTCAGTTGAACCTCATTTTGACCCTTCGGTGTCATATGAAGTTCTCTTCAGCATCCGGTCTTAATATTCAAGATGGGTTTCATAATTCTAAATCTGAACGCTGTTATGAAATTTTATTTTCACCTTCCGAGGTGATATACTCTTTCTAACAGGATGATTCGATTTTAGAATTAGAATTTAACTTTAACTCCCAAAGAAAACCAAGCTTTGAAAAATCCGCTTTCAAAATTCCACCAACACTCAATTAACCTGAGCTTGTTTGGATTCTTAAATCATGTTCTCGAGATTATGGCAATCTCAAGATTCAAACCTCTCAGGTTTCTTTGGACGGCATATAGTGGCAGCTATAAGAAGATGTATTTTGATGCCGGCTTTTAACTATCAATCTTAGAGGTATCTCTTGTTCCTTATATAAGCTCATTGTTCTAGGGTTTTTGGAGGATTTAGCAGAATGGTATATGCAAAAAGAACAAGACTTGTTTGAGGTAATCATAATTTGTGAAATTCCAGAGATTGCTTTTTCTTCTTATTCGTGTTGGTGTACATTAGAATCAGGAAAGACAATTGAGTATTTCTTCATTTTGCATACCACAATTGAAGCTTCTACATCTTTTAGTGAATTAGATCATATGTCCTCTCCAGCAACCACAGGCTTGGTTGAAGCTGAATAACTTAAATTAGTGTATTTTTTTACTGAAGCTGAACCACTTAAATCATAGTCTTTTTTATTGTATTTTCTCTTTTTATTTATTTATTTTATGGCACGTCATTCTCTATCCTGATGATGATTCTACTTTAAGTTATTAGCGCGCTAAGTAACCCACACACACAGCGGACATTTTAGAAATCTTGCGCATGAAAATTAAGCACTTAAGGGACATATAAAAAGGCTGCAACAAACTATCAAAAAAATAAAAATGGCATAACATATGTAGGAAAAGAAAAACATAATGATACTAATAAATTATTTGAAGAAAACTAACCTACCAATCCCAATATGTATAATGGTGAACTTGAAATAGGGGTATGGAGGTCGAACAATAGATGCAACAACAAAGCCAATCAGAGAGCCACTTGTTGAACTAATGATAACATTGATAGGAATAAACCACCTGGGCATTCAAAAAAATATTGTCTTAGCTCTTTCTTAGATCATAATATGGTCCGTGAATAACTGATGTTGTAATCTAATACCTCACTACCAAAATGAACATCTTTTATTAAAAAAAAAACACATTTCAGTAGTGGCTACACTATGAGAACTGCCAGAAAAACACAAAAGAAAACAATATCAAGTAATTTAAAATTGTTCATAAGCACAACTAAAACAAAGAAACTCTACAAAAAGCATTCCTTCCAAAGAAATAATAATGCCTCTGATCCAATATGCAGACAGAAAAAACACAGTTCCAATAAAAGATTAAAACATAAGAAACAAACAGGAATACACAACAATAACAAGAAACTATGGTTTGATGAAGAGCTCAGCATATCCAAGGGATTAAGAAATGTCAGGATTTGTTCAATGCTCCTACAGAGTAAGAAATGTCAGGCCTAGTTCAATGCTTCATCCAGAACTTGGAATAGGTGACTCATGTAAATAAAGCATACCAACTGGCATTTTAGCGCATGTTAATCTCAATTTAAGCAAGTCATCAAACTGTATGATGTAGAATGCAAACGCAATTACAAATGACAAAGAAATAAAAGATGAAGGCCAAAGTCGCAAAATGATATTCCAAAAGGTTTCAAAATGAAAACATAAAGACAAAACACTTAAAAGTTGAAATCTCTATTTCATGGACTATAAAAGAAAATAACCAAAACGTTTTTCTTACCACTGAAATATTTTTTCCAATGTGATTGCTCTTCCAAGTTGAGAGAATATCAAACAGGGAAGAAGAAGAGAAAAAACTAGCTGCAGCATGAATAAAAACAGTCAGTCAATAAATGCAAGAAATTTTTTATGCAAAGAATATAACTACAGACTAGTGAAAACATTCTTTCAATCCTTGGTAGAAATTTTAGCTTGAAAAAAATATATATATGAATAAGATAAATTCAACAGATTATACAACAATTATTCTTCTGTAAAGACAATATACTTCAGCAAATGTAATTGAATCAATTTCCAACACTATTTCGAGCTGAACAAAAAGAGCTTTGCTCCCATGGAAATAATGCATCGCACTGAAATGGCTTGTGAAAGAAAACTTCAAAACTCATTAACAGGAATCATCTGATGAAGACAAAACTACACAATGTTTGATATGCAGATAAGTATTAAAATCATCTAAGTGTTACAATGTTTGAGGAATACGGAATGATAAACATAGAAAAGAAAGCAATCAAATGCTTATTTTTTCCAGATAAAGAAAATTAACAGTGCATCATTTGCTGTCTAATACTATCGATTTATGACAAAAAAATTTATAAATTAGCACCTGGTGCTAAAACCTATTCAATGACATTGATTGTCACTTATTTTTCATTACTGAAATATTATTCAGAGTTTTCTTTGTGCCAGATAGGATTATCAAATATCCATCAAGCATACATCACGACTAGCAAACAAATTGTTGCTTACTCCGTTGAGAAGTTTCCGACCATTTGCAGGTAGAATGTTGACATACTTCGAAGCCATCAGAAATCCCAAAAAGCACATCGTGAAAACCTTTGCAATTGGCAAAACAGCAAACTTAATTGACGCCAGGATTGAGTCTGCTCCACCACCTTGATTCCCCATAATAATCTCCAAAAGAGACCTTTCCCTCATCGTTTTCAGATCAGCTATATCAAAAGAATAAACATCAGCAGATCCAATCATTAAGTATAATATAGTATTGGCTTATCAAACTGAGGTAAGCATGAAAGTTAAGAAGCTAAGCCAGCAATACCTGATAAAAAAAAGGGAAAATAAAATTTAAGACAAGGAGTCAAGTAGCTTAGTCATAAAAATACATAAATTTTCAGATAGTTATATACACCAAACATGTACGATCAAGGGATACTGCAGAAACAAAGTAAGAAATGTAAGACAAAGACGACCTAAACTCATTTCACTGCAAAGTGAAAAATTTCCCCCAAATGAATGAATGAGTACGTTGTTCAACGAACTGTGCAACGAGGCCAAAAGAAGAAACCCAAGACATCCTCAGTCCCTTCTGTTTTCGAACTCTTACATACAGTCGATTGACATCTCTAAGCCTCATTCCAAACTCTCTTTTGGAAGCACAACCCAGCTAAATCAAAAAAATCCAGCCTCCTAAGAAGCCTGGATTGTTCGGATAAGAAAGAAGATAACGTTTTTTTGTTTACGTTTCAGCAACCAACCTATGATCTTCCGGGAATCAGCTCAGGATCCGTCCACGTCCGCACTGAACGAAACTTCGAAAAAGAAAACTTGGATCGGCTTGCAGTAGTCTCCTCAGTCGAAAACCCTAGAATTCATGGACAAGTTCCAGGAAATGTGAAGCTGCGGACGAAATCCAGCATGAAGACGCCGTGATGCTTCCGCTCTTGCAGCTCTTTCAAGCTAAAACCAATATCCTACGCTTCAAGAATAACCGTATCGTCAGCTCTGGACATAAATAGTCCACCGCGTACAAAACGAATTACGACTCTGCCATCAGGATTAGCGGACGAGATTCAGAACATCTCTCACTTATCGAACGGTTCTCGCGGGCTACTATCGTAATAATCTAATCCGGGCCGGGCGACTACGAATAGGCTGCAAATAAAGCAAGCTTTTGATCAATTATTCGTTGTTCGGTTAGTAATAGTTCGTTTCATTTAATAGGATAAATAAATGAGTTTAAAGACCCACCACGGGTTGTCTTGGTGGTGAAGAGCTGGCTGATCATAGGTCAGATACCGAGTTCGAATCCCATGGCAATTCGTGCAAAGTCTTAAGTGTTGACCCGGATGAGTATGGGGTGGGTTGTCCGCTAGGTCGACCGGGGAGATTAGTGGCCGAAGGCTGATACTCCCTGTCCAAAAAAAAAAAGAGTTTAAAGATTCTTTATAAATACTTAATAGCTAAATAAACTAGTTTGAATAGTTGACGTTCGGTTCGTTTATGTTCATGAGCAGTATCATTTAATGCATCTAAACAAGTACATCAAGAAGTTTGATTAAAGCTCGACTAAGAAGCTCGATTATAACTGTATTAGAGTTTTAAAATATGTATATTATTGAATTTAATGATTTAATTTTACTAACCTCGTCTAAAAGTATTTAATAATTTATTTTTACCTCTCACATCAGCCTAAAAACACGAACAGTCCGCTCTCTAAACAAATATAAGATGAATCACAGATCGTTTGTTTGTGAAGGAGCTCATTTGGTAGCTCGGAAGCACTACTAATGTTGCGTGCTAGAAAATACGCGGCGGTAGAGTTTGTAAATTCGCGTCCGAGCGTTGCACGTAAATATAACACACAAACATTAACGAGAATATGAACACCGAGATTTATGCTTGGAAAACCCGAAAAGGGAAAAAACCACGAGGCCTTGCCCAGTTGTAAAATTCCACTATTGTTTTTGTAAATTACAAGAAACTGATTCGTCCCACAAATCGGGACGATCAGATTACAACTTGAAACAAATTTACAAAGTTTTGCAGAATCCCGTCGTTTCTCGAAAATCCGGCAGAGTTCCGGCGTATTCAGGCGGCAGGAAGAGCTCCGGCGGTGGTCGAGGAGGAGAGGATTCGCCTTTTCCCCTTTTCCTTCTTCTTCTCTATCTTCACTTCAGTCCCTTTGGTGTAGAATGAGGGCTCTATTTATAATTTTTCTGGAGTGGCATAGCCCGTAAATAGGCGTGAGATCAGGGGCGAATTGGGAGTGTTTTGAATGGACGACCGGTATTGAATCCTTTGATCATGCACCATTTGTTGGGTATTTGAAGGCTTTAATGATGTTGGAATTCGGCGATCTTGGGCTCGTTGGATTCGTCTCGTCGATCTGTTCGATTCTAGTATAAGCTCGTCAAAATCGGAGACCGTTTGATAACTCAAATTGCGGTTTGAACCTTCCAACAGCGCTTCGGGTCCTTGATTCAGACTTATTTGGGCTCGGATTGGGTTGATCTTGGTGTCGTTGGGTTCGTCTTTCCGAGACGCTCAGTTTGACAATAAGCTTGCTGAAATCCGAGTCTGAGTGCTCCCGGAATTAATTTATAAGTTTCCAACTAGCTTTTGCCTCGAGATTCGTGCCTGATCAAGCTAATTTTGACGTCGTATCAACGAATATATGTTCATGAATGGGCTCATTTGATAGCTCAATAATACTCATTAGATTTGTTCGTGAACGAACTTGTTTGATTTTTTTTAAAACTTCATTTGATATGTTCGATGGAATTGTTTGTTAGAAGACTCGATAAGACTTGTTTTTTAGTTAATGTACATCAAGAAGTATAGCTCATTTATAGCTCAATAAAGCTATTTTTTTAGAAAATATAATCATGAAATGAATCGAAAATGAACCAAACATGAACACCATTAATTTAAACAAATCAAACTAGTCAAATCAATCTAAGAGATGATGGTGTGCATTGACATTGTTGTTAATGTCGGGCATCAGCAGTTATACCAGCATCATGCATTAACCTTATATGTGATGACATTTATTAATATTATTGGTGATAATAAAGATGGACGACTTAATTATAAGTGATGGAGTGTGCCGACCTTCTTGAGAAGACAAATGTCAACAATCGAGCAATGGTGAACGGATAATGGCAGTCAGGCAACATAAGTCTGGTAAAGATGATCATAAGATAACAATTACGAGTGATCATAACTCTGACATACGGTTCTTGTTAGATGGGAACGACACAATCAAGAGAGCTTGTTTCAAATGTAAGAAGTTGAAGGATATCATACACATTATTTATAATATAAATCGATACAAAATATTTTAGTGATTCTTTATTTAAGACCTATATTTTATGTAAATCCCATATTCCTCAAAAAAAAAAAATTATCAAAATTTATTCTTAATAAAAAAATATCAGTGATGTATGTTTCAGAGTGTTACACGCAACAACTTTTGAATATTTATTACTCAAACTATACGTCATTAATGATCTATTTTCTTTATTTATTTTATTTAATTATTGGTTATTAGTAATAAGCAATAGCTGTTTTTTAACAAAGTTAGTTTAAATGCTTAAAAAATATATAAAATGTTTGTATTTATTTTTAATATATAGATTAATTAAATTCAGAAAAAAAAATATAATTTATTTTTTTTAATATTTTTAATTAATATACCACATCAAATATTTTTATGAAACAAATTTTTATATAAAAAATTTCTATGCATTATAGTAGTTCTCATATTTTAATAATATATTGCATAAATGATTAGCAGCAAAGACGCGAAAGTTAAGAAGAAGAAAAATATCAAAAAGAAAAACTGATATTTTTTTGTCGTTTATAATATTAGCTTTATTATTGTCACAGGCGTTGCCTGTGAAAGTGATTGAAGCTATGGACATCCTCCCTTTGTTTTGATGTGTAGGTTTGTTTGATCCGTCTTCATTTGGGGCCCTAAATTTACTATTTATATGATATAGTAAAGTATTAATGGACTAAGGGTTTGTTTGGGCGGAATCGGCTTCAATTTTGAGGGGTAAATACAGCACAAAATTATTAAATATTAAAAAATAATATTATATATCTATATATTATGAAAAAAAATTAAATTTAAGCAAGAAAAATAAAGAAAAAAAAGATGTAATTAAACTGTCATGAAAGAGAATATTAGAAAAAAATGTGTAGAAATATATAAATATTTTATGACAAGTTAAGACAGTTTTGAGAGGGGGGGGGGGGGCAAAAATAATATTTTAGGAGGGGCGAAATTTTTTTTTTACTACAAACAACAACAACAACATCAAGCCTTTATCCCACTACGTGGGGTCGGCTACATGAATCCTTTTTCTCCATTGTGTCCTATTAAAAGTCAAATTCTCGTTTAAATCTAATAAAGAAAGGTCATTCCTAATATTTTCTAACCAAGTCTTTTTAGGTCTACCCCTACCTTTCTTAACATAAGTCAAATCTAATACCTCTACTCTCCTAACCGGGTCATCGGAAGGCCGCCGTTTTATGTGACCAAACCATCTAAGACGACTTTCTCTAAATCTTATCTTCTACTGGAGCTACTCCAACCTTTTCACGTATATGCTCATTTCGTATCCTATCTCTAAGGGTAAAGCCACTCATCCATCTGAGCATCCTCATCTCTGCCACACTTAACAAAGAATTATGCTTCTCTTTTAATGGCCAACATTCAGCACCATAAAGCATTGCAAGTCTCACCACCATCTTATAGAATTTTCCCTTGAGTTTGAGGGGTACTTTTCTATCACACAACAAGCCCGATGCATTCCTCCACTTCAACCATCCAACTTGAATTCTGCTGATAATATCCCCATCTATTTCACCATCACTCTGAACAATAGATCAAAGATATCTAAAACGTGTACTCTTATTAATGACTTGATCGCCCAAAGTCACAATCCCCTCACTAGGTCTATTACTACTAAAATTACACTCCATATATTCCGTTTTAGATCTACTCAAGCAAAAACCTTTAGACTCTAAGGTTGACCTCCATAATTCAAGTTTACCTTCAACTCCCTCTCTAGTCTTATCAACAAGAAGAATATCATCAGCAAAAAGCATAAGAGGAAGAAAAGATATCGAGCAAAATTGATAACAAAACTATAATTTTCTATTACATACTAAATTTCGAAACATAAAATAATCTTTAATAGAAGATCACAAGTTCTTAACCTGACCTTGATACCATATGTAAAATTATTTTTCCATTCGTAAATTAAAGTTATGAGCAAACTTTATTTTTCTGCATAAATTTGTTATACTGAAGGTCTTTTACTAGATTATTTTCACAAAACATTAATTTGAAGAAAACATACCTTGATTTATGGGGATATTCTTTGAAAATTTGATCAAGAATTTGAGAAACTATGTTTTCTCCCTTTCACCTGCAATTTTTCTTCTTGCTTCAGTTAGTTTCTTATGAAGAAAGCTAACACTTAATTGGTAAAAAAGAAGATCATTATTTCATAATTTAGTTGTTTCATCGAGCAGTCCATGATGAACATATTGATGAATTATCTCTCTTTTGACTAATAGGATTGTGACACTTCATTACTTATTAAATTATAATTAAATAATTAAAGTAACGTGGGCCATTTCATAAGAATTTCTTACATGTTTTCCCATGGATTTTTTACTCAATAGATTCTTTTCATATCCCCCTAGCTATGTATGGTTTGATATAATTCATTTGTAACTATATTATATATTTTGTCTCGTTGATATGACTGTTTTCAGTTCTGTGTGTAATTCTATTTGAAACAGGGTTGCTGTGTAAATGCTCCGATGATTGCTGTGGCTGATTACTCAAACGGATCTGAAGGATTCACATATAATTATTACGTTAGTTCACTCTCATCCATCTAGACTAATTGAATCATCTGTCTTTTGCTATTTTTCTATCCTAGATTTAGAAGGTATGCTCTTGTATTCAATTATTCATACAGCCATTACCATGTGTTATGTGGTATATCCACCCATGCAATAAGCTCAGAATTAAGTTTCGTGTCTCCTTATCATGATTCTCATTGGCGAGGCGG